AGCAAAATGGTCTTATATACGCGCATTGCTTGAGCCAAATGGCCTTATATACGCGCATTGATTGACCTGATATGCTTGGCTTTATATACGCGAGAGTACGGTAGCTGGGGTGCGCTATTAAGCGGAGAGCAGCCACGAATTTCTGAAAAAGAACCGAAGTCTACTTTTACTTATAAACTTACATCACTTTCACTGAGTTTAGATCAAGTTTAGGCTTCGCTTGCACTTTGAAAGCGTAAACTTTCGTTAATTTTTGCACACCAAATTAAAACGCAAATCCAGTGCATCAGATCATCAAAGAAACTATTTCTCTTCAATGAATCAAGAATTGAATTTACACAAAAATTTTCCTAATCAGTTTACCCATTTCCGCAAAGTTTTTCAGCTGAAAGTTTTCGATAAGAAAAAAGAAATGAGAAGAAATGTTAAAAAACCGAAGAACATTCGATTATCGGGGAAATTTTCGGGAATCAAATGGGAATTGACTTAATTTTTCACTTCCTATCTGCGCAAATTTCGTTTGTTTTATAGTTTTATAGTGATTGAACTCAAATTTTCAAATCTAAAGCTTGTCTTGACTTTAAAAGACAAAAAAAGCCCAAGTTTCACTGAATTTTGTTTATTAGAGCTGGCTCTTTTCCTTGTCAAGTGCCAGACAGGACAGTTGTTTTGTGCAAAAAAGCTTTGAGAGATGGCTAGGGTGTAGTTGAGTGAACGGGCTATAACTAGAAGTTGAGCGTTTTGAAAAGTTTGCAAACTTTTACCGTCTGGAAGACTCCTTTAGATTCGTTACTTTGGAATGGAATACTTTAAATCAGTTTAAACAAATAGAACACTTTGAATGGAAGACTTTAAACACTTTAAACCCTTTGAATGGAAGACTTTAAGCACTTCAAACACTTTAACCTTTCAAATCTCCTTGCCTGGCACACTCAAATCGAATCAAATCGAATTCAAATGGAGTGTACCAATGTAACTACAAGATTTTAAAGTCAGACTAACTCAGAGTCAGAGTCAGAGTCAGTTAAAGTCAGAGTCAGACTAAATTTTGATGAAATCAAAATCTTTCCCTCAAAACCCACCAAAACACCAATTTTATTTAACCAATTTTAACCAATTCCACTAGTGAGTTGAACTTTTGTGTAAATCCCTGCAATTCCCATACCCGTTTCCAGACTTCCAACCTTTCCCCTGATCTTTTTGTTGACTTCAATCAAACAATGAATCTGCGGGAATTCCTCGTCTTCTTTCAGCCACAAAAAACTCGAGCAAACACATAAGCCGACACCAACAAAGACGCAAATATTGAGCTACGGCTGGCACGTGTGGGGAAGGATTGGCGTTTAATGGAGATTCGAAAACTAAGCCAGTTTAGAACCTGGAGATCTAGTGTTGAACTGTTGTCAGCCATTTCTTAGCTTAGCTTGGCCAAACTAAGCATCTAATGGGCAAATGGCCAAAAGATCTGATGTTGAACTGTTGCCAGCCATTTCTTACCTTAGTTTGGCCTCAATAATTTGGCCAATCCAAGTCAATGAAGCGCTTAAATTCTAGATTTCTATTGTTAGCCAAACTCTGACTTTAAACTCTAAAACTCTGACTCAAGTAAATTTGGGTTTGCCCTTTGCCAGCTTGTCCAGTCCTTTGCCAGTTTATCCAGTGCTTTTCTGTGTATAAGGCCATTTGGCTCAAGCAACTCGCATAAATAGGGCCAAGCATATAAGGTCAATGAATGCGCGTATATGAGGCCATTTGGCTCAAGTAACTCGCGTATATAAGGCCATTTGGCTCAAGCAATGCGCGTATATAAGGTCATTTCTTTTCTTTGGTTCCTGTCTTGAATTTTGAGTCAATTTACTAACTATACAGAGCTCAAATCCATTGTTACATTTTAGTTTTTTAGTTTTCTTCTTTAGATTTCTTCTTTAGTTCTCTTCTTTAGTTCTCTTCTTTATTTTCCTTCTTTAGTTTCCTTCTTTGATTTCCTTCTTTAGTTCTCTTCGTTAGTTTCCTTCTTTACTTTCCTTAATTCCTTTTCTGCAAACCTAGAACCCATGACACTTTGATGAAATCAGTGCTTCATTTCGAATTTGATTAAATGTGAGTGTCTGAGAATTCCAGGCAAACAAAGACCCAAAAAAGAGATGAACTAGTTCCGGGGCTCTTTTCCCAAAACTTGTAGATTTTTGGGGGGAAATGGGGCGGGCCAAGGCAGTGTGGAATTAGAGAAACGGTTGGAGAGAAAAAGAGCGGAAAAAAACTGGGCCAGACACGTACACATTGCAGTAGACAGGCATTAGTTCTATTCTTTGTTTCTTTTCAAATCGATTCCTCTTTATATTGTGTTTTATTTTTGATGCTTATCTTTTCGATAATTGGCACATAGACGTAAAATCGATTGCCGCAAAACGGCTACATTTAAATTTGATGTTCGGGCATTGAGAAGTTCTGGTTCTTCTTTAAAAGCAATAATTTGGCCAGAAATTCTTCAATCTTTTTGCTATTTCTGTTCTTTAAGCCTTTCCCTGTCCAAGTACGAGAATTTCTAGTACTAACGCTTTATCTAGACTTGATCGCACTCTTGAATTGTTTCCAAAGTTCTCAAGTCGCTGACAGTTTTACACAAATCTCCAACTCTCGAATTCCTTCAAGAGTTTCCTAAAACTGAAATTTTTCTTCATAAGTCAACAATTCCTCTACACTCAACAATTCCTCAAGCATTTTTCTTATCGAAAGATCTTTCGATCAAAATCTTTCGAATTAAGCATCAATCTCTCCTTTCTATATAAGATTTTTGAAACTGATTTGTTTTATGCCAATGGAAATTGTTGCTGTCTTCTCAAGGCTTATCAGAGAATTTCTAGCACTTCCTGAAAGATAAGGCAAATATTTTCCTGCTTGAATTTTCACAGAATTGAATGAAATGTGGTAATTGATTTGATGCTTTTGGGTTTTCGCTGTTAAACTCTACCTCAGAAATGGTTGAACTTGTCATTCATCAAACTGATTCCAATTTGACACTTGTACAGCTTATATAAGTTTCTAAAGCTGCGAAGTAAAAGCTTTTCAAGTTAGCTTTCAGGCTTTAAAGTTAGCTTTAAAGGCTTTCAAGTTAGCTTTGAAATTAGCTCTGAAATTTGGTTCTAAAGCTGATCTTTTAAGCTAGCAGCTAGCTATCCATTGGCCTTTCATCCCCTCATTATCTTCTCCAAAAGCTGCAAAATGAACCTATTCATAAAGTAAAAGCAAATTCATCACTATTCATTTATTTCAATGCTTTTTTTGGCATCATCTATCTCTCTATTAATTTATAAAGGAAAAGGAAAAGGAGCGCGATTTTCGATCACTTCTTCCGGGCAATCGGAGGGAGCAAAAAACGGCGGAAAAAGGCTGAATGGAAAAGGAAAGGAATGGAAGCTGAAAAGGGGCGAAAAGCAATTTCATTTCTTTCCTTTCCTTTCCTTCTTTCTTTCCTTTCTTTCTTTTCCCTTACATAGGGGCGGCCCCATGGGGTGGATGGGGCAGACCACAAATGAACATGGGCCGCCCACCAGAGACATACACAAACAACTTCTTTCTTGAGCTTCGTTTTTACCATATTCACCTCATTACGTCTAGATTTTCTATATTTTATCTATTTAATATATTGAAACTAAGCTTTACAATGTTTATTTTGGACTTTAACTACTTTATTCACAGCTTTAACTAGATCAACAGCTTCTCTTCTCATTCGAGCTCCCTTGTGCCTCATTTTGTGGCCATTCTTCACCTCATTACGTCTAGATTTTCTATATATTATCTATTTTATCTATTTAATATATTGAAACTAAGCTTTACAGTGTTTATTTTGGACTTTAACTACTTTATTCACAGCTTTAACTAGATCAACAACTTCTTGTCTCATTTGAGCTCTCTTGTGCTTCGTTTTGTGACCATTCTCTACTCATTATAGCTTTTTGTTATTTGGAGATTTCCAGCCAACTATTCTTCCTATTCTTTTGCTTTAGCTGTTAACCTTGGAAACTTTCAACAATCTTCAAAAAGTCACAATTACAAATTTCATTTCTATCTCCAAATTGCAATGATTGCCAAAAAGGCAATCATTGCCTTTTTGACTTCTCCATTTTCTTAGCTCTATAACTTTATCTATCAATTGATTGAAAAAGTTAACTATTTTTCTGCAACACAACATCCAAATTCTTTTCCACAAATCTCTCCAAGATCTTTGACCTTCACAATCCTTTTTTCCATTACATTCCCAAAACTCTACTTCCTAGTCCCAATTCTCCCAAATTTTCTCATTTCTTTCTATTGTCCATTACATTTTATCGCTCAATAAATTAACCTAAATGTGAGAGATCTTTGATTTTTCTTTGCTGTTGTACTTCCGACAAATTTTTGCGTCAACTTTATGAGACTACAAAAGTTACGACAATGGAAGTATTTTAGAACCCAAAAATAGCTCAAAATCTGATGAAAATAAAGATCTTTGACAAGCAACCAATCCTTCAAAACCAAAACTGAATTCAAGCCTCAAAACTAAGCTTTTAAACGCTTTCCAAGCTTAGAAAGAACTCAAAGCGTCTCTAAAATCATCCAAATTCTCAAGATCTTTGGTCTTTCTCTCAAATCTTTCCTACGTGACCCATCTTTTGACCATCTTTTTCCCATTTTTCGGAACTTTTTGGCAGAACAGTTGCCCCGGATTTCCGCCTATCTTTTCCAAATTCTCTATTTTTGATCACTTGATAGAGGCTTGAGGGCGGATTTATTACAATGGATGATAGGATTTCTTGTTGTTGATTGAGAATAATTGAATGACTGGGGGGACAAGTTGATGGACCATGTGACGCAAAGGATTTCAGTTATTTCCGGATCTCAATTCATTCTCATTTCTTGAGTCCAGGTGTACCTTGCTGTTCTTTCACTTGCTCAATTGTTGCTCAATGTCATTTGCTCAATCTCATTTGCTCAATGGTTACTCAATTGTTACTTTATCAATGATTTCAGATAATCCCACTTCGTTTGTTGATGTTAACACGTTTACAAATCATATTATGCGCAGGGAATTGATGCTCACGCTTGAAAATATGGTGAGTCTACTTTTATTTACAAGAATCTCCTTCAAGAATCTCAGTCAAGAATCTCGGTGAAGAATCCAGCCAAGTAACTCTTACTGTATCAGTAAAAACCTACAGAATCATCAGCTTACACAGCTACCAATAAGTACTATAAGCTGCAGTACCAGTTTGGCTACATTGTTCAACATTTCACAAAGGCAAAGGCACAAAGAAGGATCCTAAGCTCTTGGCCAAGGACTGTTGTACTGTAGTAGCCAGTACGCCAGTACTGTATGTAGCCAGTACGCCAGTACTAGCCAGTACTGCAAGCCTAGTACCAGGTTTTACAGTAAACCCTCAATCTTGCAACTCTTTCTTGGTCCCTGCAACTATCTAACAAAACCCCAAACCCGTATTTGATCTTTACGAGGAAGTTCAGCAAGACTGAACCCCTGAAACCCTATCAAATCCCATCAGAACACTCGCCTCGGGGTCGACCCTTTCATCGAATTGTTTGAGCGGCGCTAGCGTGGATCTCAGCTTTCCGCACGCGCAAACTTTTCCTTTTCTTTACGCAAACTTTCCGGTTCCTTTTCAATTGACGGTTCTCTTCTCGAGGCCTTCGATCAACCCTTCACTTTTCCGACCCCCACTCACTATACCCATGCGAGTGTGTCTAGACCGTCGCACGATCTACGACTAACATTATTTAGGGTTACTGTAGAATCTAAATCGTTACAGTAATCTAGGGAAGTACATTAGTCTTCAGCAAAATTGAATAGCTTTAATTGAAGTTAAACAACAAAATTGAATAAAACTTAAAGAATTTTAAGCTATCTTTTGATTTAATGATAAGATTTAAAGAATATTCAGCTAAATACTTATCCAGTCATGTTGTAGGGAAGAAAATTGATCTGTAAATCATGTTTTTTTCGTTTAAAAATGAATTTTGACACACAGATGGATTAGGAGTCCATCGAGGACAGTTAATCCAGGATTTCCTCTTACTTTAAGTTCCAGCCAAATCAAAACCAATCAAATTGTGCAACTCTTGGTACAAATAGACTGAAAACCAGTCAAAAAAAAAAAAAGAAAACATTTTCACACAAATCACTCTCGGATTGCCGTGAAAAGTCGGGTGTATTCCTTTCACCCTTCACCTCCAAAGAGGCAAACTGTGCGGGGGGAAATGGGGGCTCGGGGGTCTTCTCGTGCACGCTCAACAAACAAGGGAAATGGGAAAGGATGGGACGGACACAAGGCAAGAAAGCGGATCTCTCTCTAGTCTCTTCCCAGCTCCTATTTGCCCCACGAGCTGCGCAAGGGGAGCGCCCCATTGTTTGGCCCGTTTCTACAGTCTTTGGATCTTTTTTTCTCTCCTACATCGAAATCTCTAGCTTTAGGCTTTCTATGACTGATTCTAGAAATAATACCAAGAAATTCTAGCTCTCTAGCTTTTCACTGAATCCTGATACCTCTCAAAATCCTATTCTACTTCTCTAAGGTAGCCTGCGGGCCTGTCAGTCCTCGCACGACCCCACCCCTTCTAGGCACGATCATCTATCCTGAATTTTTGACTAAATTATTGATTGTTGTAGCTTAAAACCTACTTTCTGTATAATCTTTCTATTTTCTAGTCTCCGAAACTAGCCGCTCCCGCTCCGGCACCACCATCGCTTTCTTTTGGTGCCGCTGGAAGCCCATTCGACTCTAGCGCTTTGAACGCTCTTCTACCAGGTATATTTTGAACTACAGTACTTTAGATTTTGAACTATAGAACTAATAGAACTGTACTGAGTGTTTAAACTCAAATTTAACTTGTTCTTTTTAGGCCTGGCAACCCGGTCAGCTTTCTCGGTGGTTTGTGGTGCGGGTGGAAACGTTTTGCCGGGAGTTACGACAGCCTCGAATTTCTTCGACGTCGGCAGCCCGCCAGCCACCATTTCAACGGCCGCCTCCCCGTTTGCTCCATTATTGTTCCCAAATATCGGATCACCGCAATCGATTCCACCGACACCAGTCCTTCAATCGACCGCGCTGCCGGTGGTTACCAGCTCGGCGCTGGTAAACGCTGTGAGTGTTTTGATGATTTGCTATGACTGAAGGTTTTAGAGAACTAGAGCGAACAGCTAAAGCTTTAGAATAAGTTTACAGTATCAACAACTAGAACAGAACCAACAACTAACGCTAAAAACTAAAGCTTTAGAATCAGCTTACAGTATCAAAACTTTCAAAACAAGTTCTAAACATTTCTTTTAACTTTAATTTCCATTTCCAGGTCCAAGCGTTGACAGCCGGTTCCCCACAAGCTCCAGTTTTGTTCAATCAGCTCATGTGCCTACCTGGTTTTCTAAACGGGAATCTCCAAGCGCAAACGATGCCCACCCAATTCAAGCCAATTCCCGCAAACGGATAATCGGTGAGGAATACTCAAGTAATACTCAAAAATGACTTGATACAGACGAATCTTAATCCGGAAACTGCACTGGCTTAGACATTACTGGGATTTAAAATTTAAACTAATAAACCAAATCGGAAATCAACTAACACTTAACCTAATCATAGCTCAAATCAAAGCAAATTCAATTAGAAATCACAAAAACGTGTTTATCACGTTTTCTTCCCTCTGAAAAAGGAACTAATCAGCGGAATTAAGGAAATTTTGCGCCGAAACTCGGAGGTAATAAAATTTTTTTTTTGGTTTTTGGCGGCGTTTTTCTGGGAACAAAGTCTTTTTTTTTGATTCGAAACAAACAAAAAAGATTAGAAATGAAAAAACGGCTAAAAATTGAGTACTTGTAGTAGATTCGAGATCTCAAAAATCAGCTGAAGGGATTTAGGAGAAAAAAAAACGAAAAGAGAGAGCTCTGTTTCAAAGCCGAGCTCTAGTTTTCGATTTTTGAGTTTTTAAATGATTTTTTTAGGTTTTTGATCAAGTACTAGGATATCTAGTGGTTTTCATTTGAAAAAAATGATGAATTGTTTAAGAGTTGGATCGTAAAACGAACCAGGAAAGAGACTAGAGTTGGCTTTGATCAAAAAATGCTAGAGAATCCGTTTTCGCTAGAGAATCCGCTAAAGACTAAAATATTGTAATACTTATTTAAATATTCAGCTAACTATCTGTTTATTATTAGCCAACTATCTGTTTAAATTATCCAATTATCCAAGCTGCTTATTCAATCCAAATTTTAGCCTTGACTTGGTTGGATGGAGAGTTCGTGAGCCGGTCGACTGGACGATGGACGATGTGGTCGGGTGGATGCTCGAAACGAGTAAGCGTTTGGGCATCCCGTGTGAGGATATCAATATGAGCAAGGTTGGTATTAGAAAATTCTAAAGTATTTACTTTCTAAAGCATTCTAAAGCAGCATTTAAATGCAAGATTTACTTCAAATTTGACACCAAAAATCCCTAGTTTGCTAGCTTTCCATAACAAAAACATCTGATTAGCCAAAATTTTTTGTCAGCCAATTTTTGTTGTCATTGCTTTTCAAAGTAATATTTGCTTAGCTTTACATTCCTATTTCTATTATTATTTCCATTGTTATTTGCTTAGAACTTCTTTGACAAATATGTTTAGTTTGAGAGCTTGATTTGTTTGTCTTGATTTGTTTATGATTCACTAGTTTGAATCTGTTAGAAAACAGTAGATGAATGAGTAGTTTTTAGGGAATATTTAAATAAGCATTCTATTGTTCTAGTCTTTAAATACGGATTGGAAGTAATTGCTAAAGAATGTGTAAAATTGGAAGTCAGTTATTAGTCAGTTTTCCTGGGATTTTCGTTTTTTTTCATTTGTTTGAGTCTAATTGGTTTAGCAAGGGAAAACGCTAGCAAAACAGGCTTTTTCCTTATAAATCGCCAGAAAGAAAACTTCCAGAACGTTCGAAAAATCATTTTAGAAGTCATTTCTTTGATCACCAATCCATAAACATTTCAAATCCTTTGTTTTCTTTGCAAAAAAGCCAAGTTCTTCTAGTTGTCAGAGATTCATTTTCCCAAAAAAACTCTACTCGGTTTTAAATGACCGGAAATTAGCATTTATTTTGTAAATTATTGAAAATCTTGTCTTTTTCATCTAGAATTGGTTAAATTATATAAAAATTTGATTTTTTTTTCAGTTCGCCACTCTTTCTGGAGCTGAATTGTTAAAAATGAATGAGAACGATTTCACCGATTGCGATCCAAGCTACGGAAAGCTATTCTACCGGGAAATGGCCAGATTTTTAAATGGTTAGTTACCTTAGAATAGTTACTAATTCAAAGATTTTCAATACAAAAATGAAATTTTACAGTTACCATCCCTGAGGACAACATTTTGGATGATGTTCTGAGGAAATACAAAGATTTGGAGGAGTCAAAGCCGACAATTGACACCAATGCGATCTTCCAACAGCAGATTCAACGGCAACAAGAGTGAGTCAAGAATTGAGTTTAATTAAAGGCTTCTATAGTCTACTATAGTCTTCTAGATTCTTCTAGATTCTTCTAGATGCTTCTAGATTCTTCTAGATGCTTCTAGATTCTTCTAGATTCTTCTAGATTCTTCTAGATTCTTCTATAGTCTTCTATATTCTTTACTAAGTCTATATCAGTATATTTAGAATGAACAACCTATTCGCTGCTCAACAACAACTCACACAGACTTTGGCTAACAATATCCGAGCGCAATCGATTGCACAATTCACAAACAATCTTTGCGCTGCTTTAAATCCAACTGGATTGAATTTAAACAATTTGGCGGCTTCTCCATTGTTGGCAAACACTTTGCAGGTACATTTAAGAAGATCAAGAAAAGAGTTCTTAATTGAAACTTTCAGAGAAGGAACTCAATCTCCAGTGATTACTTGCCGTGTTTCCAACAAGGACCCTCAACAAGCGGAGGATATGATTCGGGTTAGGGTTTGGATAAATTTTGAGTTTTGATTGACTTGTTGAGTTTAAGAAGGCTTAATCTTTCCATTTTTAGAGTCTGAGATCAAAGGTGTCTTCAAGAATCGACCACTTGATGGGAAAATCCGAAAACGCTCTCAGCACGCTAAGGGCAATAAGTTGTGGGAGTTCATCCGTGATGCTCTGAAAGATCCATCAACTTGTCCATCAGTAGTGCGGTTGGTTTTTGATTTTTTTGTGATTCTATTGCTCACTTACAAAGTCACATGATTGAATTTTCGAATTAAATTGTAACTGGGGATTTGTAAAATGTAAATCTTCTGCAATCCCGAGGAAATCTCGATGTTTGCTCTCTAGCAAATCTATAAACACTCTGCAGCTTGGAAGAAAAAAGAAAAAGGAAAAATATAAGAAATAATTCTTCGAAAGGGGAAAATAGCAGATGAAAATGTGTGGTGCGTGTGTTTTTTGATCACTTGAACAGAAGCAGGAGGAGGTGGGCCTGAAGAAGACATGAGAAGAAGTGGAGAAGAGGAGAAGAGGAGAAGAGGTGGTCTGGGGCTTCTCAAGGGGTCCACGAAGGCCAACTCCCTTCCTTGCATTATTCAGCGGAACTACACTTTCCCTCTTGGGCCAAGAAAAGCGTCAAAAGTTCGCCGATAAGAAATTGGCTTAAAATTTGAGGGATTTCCTGGGCAAATGCTGATTTTTGAGCACTCATAAGTGGCGATTTCAATTCATAATGAAGGGTTTGTTTCCCGTGGTGATCAAGAATCTCAATCTGAAATGGGAAACAATTTTCTGAGAAAAGGGATGGTTGATTTTTGAAATCTATGACTCGATCTAGCGATTGGAATTGAAATCTTGCGACTTTTGAAATCTATGATTCGTTCACGTTTACAAAGGCTACAAGACAAGGCTAAAGATCACAAATGTGTGAATTTGCAAAAGTAGAAAAGGCAAATTCAATCCAGATTAGATCGATGAGCTTGATTGTAGCAAAATAGCAAGATGGGCTAGATTGTAGCAAAGCCATCACCATTTTTGATCTTAATTCTAAAACGATGCTATCTCAGACTAATGCTATGCCTGGACTAATGCCAGACAGTCTTAGATCAGATTAGAATCTTTGACTTAGTCTTAGATTTCTTAGACAAATACTTGAATCTCTAGAATCAAGCTTCAAATCAAGCGAAGTGCAAAATCAAGCTTCAACCCTGATTGGCTAACCTACAGCTACAGCTAACTTAGTCTTAGATTTCTTAGACAAATGCTTGAATCTCTAGAATCAAGCTTCGAATCAAGCAAAGTGCAAAATCAAGCTTCGACCCTGATTAGCTAACCTACAGCTACAGCTATATTGTAGTTGGATTCGAAAATAGCTCAAACATCTCTCCATATCACTTTGATCTCAAGCTCATCCATTTCCCCTTCCCCAAAACGTGCGCTATATGTTGTTGTCATTGGCTTTCCATAAACATGAAGGAACCCAAGGGACTGAGTGAGAAAGAAAAGGAAATTGGCTTAGAGGGACCAAATGATGCGATGAAAAGGAGAAAGAGAGCTGTTCTTTGACCCGCTCTGAAACCAAGCGAACAAGTCTCCTCTGGGTCTCTGCCTTTCTCTCTTCCTCCTCAATTTTGTGTCAGCAAAAACGGGGAAATTCTCTGCCGATCAACGACCACTTGTTCCGTGTCAAAAACCCTTATCTCTCGATGTATTGCGAAAGCGAACTTTCACGGGGATAGAATTTTGTTGGATAGAATTTCTATCAATGAATTGTTGCCTGATGAGGGTGAGAGTTGGGCCTAGGTTGAGCAAAGAACTAATTCAAGAGATCGTGCTTTGACTTGAGGCAGATAGCCAGATAGATAAGAAGCCAAGAATACAAAACTTTAGTGGTTCAAAGTCAATTACTTGATTCATTACAAAATTTGCATTACTAGATTCTCTTTCTTTCTCTTTCCCTTGTATTTCCTCTTTCTTCTCTAGCAAGAAGCGGATAGCTCAGTGGTTAGAGCATCTGCCTGGAAAGGAAAAGGTTGAGAGTTCAATCCCCTCTTCAGAAATCTTACCATTCCTTACTTTACTTTATTAACAAAGCCAGGAATAGCCAACAAGTCCAACAAAACCAAGAGATCCTAAGGAAAATAAAGGCTTAGAAGTCATTAGAACATAAAGAATTACTCAATTCATTCTTATAGATAGATATTCTTATAAATATTTCATTCTTTCAGATGGGAAGACCCAAACGAGGGAGTTTTCCGAATCGTTGAATCGGAGAAGTTGGCAAGACTTTGGGGCGAGCGCAAAAACAACACAAAGATGACTTACGAGAAGCTCTCAAGAGCAATGAGGTTCGTCTTAGTCATTTTCCTTCCCTAACAATCCCAATCAAAAAACCTACTACTTTGAAAATCCCCAAAAATAACTGGTGGTGCATGGAGGTGATTTCAGGACCTACTACGACAAGCAGATTCTCGTGCCAGTGCCTAAAACTGGCTTGTACCCGAAGAAATTGGTCTACAAGTTTGGCCCCGGGGCTCATGGATGGTCAAAAGTTGCTCAAACGGCTCTCACAGTTTGATATGGATCTCGATCGTTCTCGCTCCAAACCTGGACCCCATGGTATGGGCTCTAACATGTCTTTTACTGACTCGTTATCCAGAAAACAGAGAAAATAGAAAAGCATGTAAAGAGAATGGGATTTTGATTCAAAGAATGTGCTAAAAGCCGATAACTGAGGAAGATAGTAGCTCTGTCTTAACGAGAAAGCCTCATAAACAGTTTCAAGCAAGTTATGACTTTAGAATTCTCAGCAGCTTAAGCTAAAGTGTCCAGTTGACAGGCAGTTAGCTAAAGTATCTAGTTACTCGATGAAACTCAGCAGTAATCAAAGTTTTAAGTGCTGCAGAACCTTAGCCTAAACCTTGTCACAACCTTTTCAACTCCCGATGACCAAAAATCTCTCCAAAATTCTGTAATCATAGTTCGACCACAGGTTCATTCACCATTTCCGCTTTCATCAATTTTCAATCAAGGCTTTCCATGATTTGTGTGACATTGAGAGAGAAAAAAAGGGATAACAACGGGGAAGTTGACGAGTAAAAGAGCCCTGTTCGGCCAATAGAGTCTTTCCAATCACGTCAGAGCGGAACTTTTTCCAATTTTCCCGACCCTCACGAGTTGTGTTGAAAAGAGAGAAAATTTTTGCCATTTTGAAGATCAGAGAGCACGTTTTCACCTGCAGGAAGGGGAAAAGGGACCTTTGTTTCCGGACCTTTTTTTTGATATTCTAAGGGAGCTCTTGAGCAGTAAAGTTCCAAGGAAACTGAAGAAAAAGCTAAAATCTCTGAAAGGGATCGAAAAAGGATCTCTGAAAATTTCAGGAAGTTAGAAGCTAGAAAATTCCATTCTCGAAAGCATGATGATTGGAGGAAAGCTAGAATTTTAGACGTTGAGGCAAGGAATCTAATACTAGAAAAGTGCAAAAACACTCCAAAAACACTAATAGCTGAACTTCGAACTCTAGAACCAAAGCTGAACTTCGAATTCTAGACCAAGACCTTCCAAGGCCCTTTGTTCTAGTTAGCTTCAACTGAACAGTTCAAAACTGTTGTTTTTTATAGAGTAATATTGGTAACTGGATACTTTAGCTTTACTTAGATTAGCTTTACTTAGATTAGCTTTACTTTAGCTAGGATTCTAAAGTCGTAACTTGGCTGATCGGAGAAAGAGCTGGCGAAAGATCTAGGCTAAAGATCTAGGCTCAGAATCCGATACTTACATAGTCCATAAGCCAACCGTAAAACCAGAAAAGAGTTCAATTATTCAACTTTCAGATACTACTACAACACAAAGATTTTGCTGCCGGTGAGTGGCCGCAGACTGGTGTACAAATTTGGGCCAAACGCACGCGGATGGAACAATGGTGGAGTGTCCGCTTCGTCCTCATGGTCAGGCCCATCGGCTGGAACTGGCTCGGACGAAGACGAAGAACAAGATGACGACTTTCCACCAACAATGACCCAAATCCCAAATCTACCCTTGTACTTTCAAGAACCATTTCATCCGCTAATTTCCCAATCGTTGACCCAGTCGCGTCCCTAGATTACGGTGATTTTTCCACATTTTACGGTGCATTCTCTAAGTACAACCTCAACTCTTTTTCCCCCAAAGCCATTGTAAAACTATTTTCTTTTGTTTTTTCTAAAACAGGGTACTGTATATTTTAGTGCTAAATAGTTTTGTGATTGTGCTTAGTCATAATGAGATTTGTTTGTTGAATTGGGAGGGATTTTAGAAACGAAAGGCGACTGGCGCAGAGCTGTAATCGGTGTCAGATCACAAAAGTTTCCAAAATTTCTTCGCTTTTTCGACAAACAACTCTAGTCAGAATCAAAAGCTAGTCAGTTTTTGCAGCTTTCTGTGTTTTTTCCCATATTTCTTTTTAAGAATCGAGCCAGCAACAGCATCTTTCAGTGACTTTGTTGATCTCTTTTTTACCCATCAAATTTTTTTTCAACGATTCGTTCTGAAAGCTTTTTATTCTCGAAAATCAAAGTGATTTCCTCTCCGATTTTCGATTCTGTACATTAAATGATTCTTTTTTGTCGTTTTTCTGATATCCCATTGTTCATAACCGGGTCCACTTTTTGTCTGTTTTTGATTTTTTTTCATTTAGATACGTGGAAAGTTGTAAAAACATTATTGTGCATAAATGAATGATAAAAATTGAATTTATTGAAAGATTTACTTATTAAAATTCACCGGTCACTTCTGATTTAAGCAAAAGCATAGCAAAAGTGTGGCAAAAGTATAGCAAAAGCACAGCAAAAGCAAGGCAAAAGCACAGTAAAAGCATAGTCAAAGCAAAAGCATAGCAAAAGCATAGCAAAAACAAAACAAAAACAAAACAAAAGCATAGCAAAAGCATAGCAAAAGTATAGCAAAAGCATAGCACAACACTCACATATACATTAACAAACTGTGCATAAAATTAACTTGTTTAAATTTTCTATCCAGAGTATTTCGCTACCTTTTTAGTCTTCATTCATTTGTGCATTTGTGAAATGTGGTTTAAAGCCGTCTTTGTTTATTCAGAGAATGTTTATTGTCTTAAAGATTATTGCATAATCTTCTTCAAACATTTGATATTACCATTTTTATCGATCATCATTGAAAAGATCGTAATCACGAAAATCTCAAAAATTACTTTTTTACTTATTAGGTAAATGCAAAAGAAATGCGGATTTCAACATTTTCATAAATTTCCAACGATAGAAACCCGATGTTATAAACTAGAATCGACGAATGTTATAAACTATTTGAGTTGTATCTAAACTAAAGTTGTAAATCTCCTCTACAAAATAGGCTAAAACGTGTTTCAATTGATCGAACCATTGAAGAAATTTCGAGGGCGAAATGCGAGTGACCAAAAAAGGAATCGAGTCACTTTAGGGACAAGTTTAGTGTCGTCAAAATAGAGTTAGCTTTCCAAAATTGAAGATTTAACAAAAAAAGGATAACTATATATCAATTCATTAAAAAAGTCTAACGGAAATGCATTTACAGAAATTTAGATAGAGCCCAAGTTCAAAACCCTCAAAATTGTCAAAAAAAACCGGCTTTTTCACAAAAAAGAAAAATTATTGTAAAAACAAAGTTTTCCCATGAAATGATCCCAACTCTTAATTATTTTGAATGCTATTATTTTGAATGATATTTAGGGCGCTCATTCTCCACTATATAGTCAAAACCGAACTCTTGTCAAAGTGGGGTTTTCAAAAAGTGCCCTTTTTTGGTCACTCGCATTTCGCCCTCGAAATTTCTTCAGTGGTTCGATCAATTGAAACACGTTTTAGCCTGTTTTCTAGAGGAGATTTACAACTTTAGTTTAGATACAACTCAAATAGTATATAACATTCATCGATATCGTTGGAAATTTATGAAAATATTGAAATCCCCATTTCTTATGCATGCACCTAATAATTAAAGAAATTACCCGTTAGACAAGAAATTTTGAAAGTTATCGAATCTTTGGAGTAGTTGGTAATTTCCTTTTTTATCACCTTTGTTGATTTATCAACAAATACACGATAAGTAAAAGAGAACAAAAATGTGATAGAATGCATTCCTTCTCACTAGCTAGTCGTATTGGTTTCTCCAGATTTACTCTGAAATTTGTATAACATTTTAACAGTAAACCTTCGAAGTGCCATAAAACCACTTGGAACACTAGAATTTTCAACATTTTTTGGTATTTTTTAACTTGGTAAACCTTAGCTTTTCCAAGTTACCTGAGCTTCCGGGAATCCTCGTAAGAAAACCATCAACGGCGCTGAAAATATCGTTACCATAGCCATCGAATAACAAAGACTAAATTTGAATTTCAATATACTTTCAACAAATAAACTCACTATTCAAAACCTATCATCTCAACGAAATAACCGGATGGTAATGGCCCAATCACCCCTCCGAGACAGTAGATAGAGTCGGCAAGAGCATAAACAGGGCCTAGAACTTATTATCGATTTTATTCTGAAAGTATAAGTAACATAACCTAGATAGATACTCTTTAGCACTGTATTGGGGAAGACCGAAGAATTAGCCCCCATTCTACCCAAGAATTACCGCCCACTTTTGATTTAGATTTACTCCACGCATGAGGGGCGATTCTTTGGGGTAAACACTAGAAATGGGCCTCGAATCGAATCGAAGTGAATCACTGATTCGATTCAATTCGACTTTAACAATCAAATCAAATCAATTCGATTCGATGCCCATGTCTAGTAGACACCCAAAAACCATCCTCCATTCGGTAATTTCTTCGGTAATTGTTCGGTTTTCTTTATTAGGTTTTTTTATTAGGTTTTCTTTATTAACATCTTATGGATTAAGGCTTAAGTTACCGTAGGCTTTCTGATGTCTCAATTCAGCTAGATGACCAAGTAGAAAATAGAGACCAGTGTCAATAAGGCCTAGAAAAGATAAAGACTAAAGTTGAACCAAGCTTTTGAAGAGCATGTAGAGTTGGGTTTAATCTTAGTATACAATACGGAAAATTGAATCTAGGCAATCCATAGAACTCACCCATACTCAATCCAACAACCGTAAATGGAATGGCAAAGAACCAAATCCGTGGCACAAACGGGAAACTCAACAAAGCGAGTCCAATACAGATTAACCCGATAAAGCTCGTCAACCACATAAAAATTCTTGTTACCTTAGTGAAAACCGAGATTTTTATCTATTTTGATGTTGAATTCAAAGCTTTAAAGTCCCTTACCGTCTGATTTTCGTCGTGATAACACCCAGAAAATTTGTCGAGATTATATAGAGTATTGTTGAAGGTAAAAATGCAACAGCTAAAACAGAAATATTTGAAAATAAATGGAAATCGACATCTTTCGATCGTTTTCGCTCCCCACACGTCGATCATTCGAAATTGGAGCGCTGGCTGTAGAGAGACCCAACCATAATAGGAGAAGAAGATACCACCTAAGCTTTTTTTTTGATTAGCTTGGATAAATATTAAAGATAGAAAAAGTTGTCTATGGAAAATACAGCTTTAAGCTTTACACAATGCCACAAAAATGTAGGGATCGATGAGAAGTTTCCACACCGAACTCGGCTCTTTTTCCTCCATTTTTCGCCTTTCAACCTTTGGAGTCAAAATCAATACTTGTAGACCTCAAAAAATCATTTTAAATTCAAAAATATTTGCCATTTGCCATTGCATTTACCAATTGCCAAGATTCCGATCAGTCCAAGCACTAGAAACGGGAGTTCCTTGCCGAAGAAGTGATACATCACTCCGCCATATGGAGCGCCAATAAGACCTCCTAGAGGTGGATAAGAGTTGAGAATGAGAAGAAATTGTTGGGCAAAACTGGAGCTCACTCACCGACAGCTAACGCTCCAAGACTGATCCCGATTGCTTTACTCCTTTCCGTCTCTTCTTTGTAATATTCGGCGATTAGTCCCATGCCTAAACTTTTTTCGAAAATTGGCTACTTTCCAGTCTGACACTTTTTCTTATTCAACACTTTCTTATCTTTTCTTTTTCTTTTTTTGATTTCCAATATCCAATTCCAAAAGTTTCCTAAATCAAAGCCCATCTGATCAAATTCAGATCGAATGGAGTCAAATTGTTTAGGTCAAATTCAACCGTTGGGTCAAATTCAACCGTTGGGTCAAATTCAACCGTTGGTTCAAATCCAGACCCAACGTCACCGAATTGTTAAACTATTAGAGACCAAGAGATCAAACCGATTACAATACTTAGTCCAAGAAATGCGTGAATGGATCTAATACTGAAAAAGAGCTTACTAGATCTTAGAACTAGGGCACAAGTTCTAAAATCTGAAACGAAATCCATACCTGCCGCAGAAACACAAGAGGAGCCAAGCCCATGTACACTTCTTGCTAACAAAAGAGTGAAATACGTTTGACCAAATGCAAATGTGATCGCAGATCCGGACATAATAACAAGACCAACAAAAAACGGGATAGAGTAGCCAATTCTAGGGTAAATTTTGTAGGTTTCATAAAATTTGCTAAACTTATTGATCGTTGTGCCTGTCAAGGGACCGGCTAAAACACGGACCAAGGCTTTGGCTGCGTAAAGAATACTGAAAGATATTTAGCGATCTAAAATTGATTCAACAATACCTGAAAGTGACTCCAGTGTCTTCAATGATTTGGTGTCGTTCTTCAGCTTTTGAATTTTCAGTATTTTCAGCCTACATAGTTTAAATTCTATACTTTTTGACAAAGCTTACATTCAGGATAAATGTAGCATTCTCTGAATTGATTTCAATGAGAAAATCGGGCATGATTGGGACTAAATAAGTCATAAATGATAGGATTTCATTTTTTTCATCTCACCTACAGCTTGCATTAAACAGTAATCAAGAAACAGACCAATATAGACCAAAATCAGAAGACAAGTTCTTGAGTCTTTAAAGCAAAATCTCTTCATCGTCATGTTTTCAATTCATAGCAATTTTTTCAAAAATCGTTGAGGAAACTATTTTTGAAATGATCGAGAAAAAATGTGGTTGTTTTGGAAAATGTTTTGATCAATTTCCCGATCCAGAGAAAGTATTTTGATGAGTTTTTTTTTTGGTTTTTGTTCATAATCGCTGGTCAGTTTTGTGTTTGATAAGCGGTTTATGCAAATAGAAATACCTATTGTTTCAGGAAGAACTTAGAACTTAGAATATTGTAGAAGTTGTATGAGCTTTTTGAACAAGTACCAGATTTTGTCAATGGCTCAGGCTAAGGCTTAGGCTTAGGCTCAGGCTCAGGCTCAGGCTTAGGCTCAGGCTCAGGCTTAGGCTCAGGCTTAGGCTCAGGCTCAGGCTTAGGCTCAGGCTTAGGTTCAGGCTCAGGGTCTCGCTGAATAAGTAGTTTTCTAGAAGTTAGGAATACACAAACTACGCCCAATATGAAATCATCTTTTCTTTGATCAATTCTAAAAATGGCAAAACATTCAACTTGAAAGCAGCTTAATAAAGGCGTGAAAGGTGATAAGCATTTGAGATTTCTTTTTTCAGCCAAAACTTTGTCCACTCATCTGTTCTAATTCTGAGTATGAAATTGATTTTTATGCTAATTTTTGCGTCTTTCAAATCGGCATTGATCTATAATCTTTCTAAAGAAAATCCTTCTTATGCTCTGCATGGGATTACACTAGCACGAAAAATGGTAAACTGATGATGCAATTTTTGCACCAGGTTTTCGGTGTTCAAGTTCAGCTCTTGGTTTCTAGGAAATTTGTGGCTCTAGGTCTCTAGGAAATCACTAAAAGTTGGGGAAAATTGTATTCAAATTGTTTTATATCGTGCCCTCAATCAAGTAGCCTTCCAACTGAATATCTTTTCGTAGTCTTTTTCCCCATTTAAGCTGTGAAATTGTTTCTGTTCTTCTTTTCAATTGCTGCAAGTTAAATCCAGACAATTGTGGTAGAGTTTGTTTTTCTGTTTGCTTCTTGCTCGTGGAAAAGTTGCCTAATTGACACAAGTTCTGACTTGTTGTTGGCGTTTTTTGTTGGCGGTTGGCGGCTTTAAAATATTCAGAGTACAATTGAGAGAGCAAAGATAGCTCTAAACAAAGAAATAGCTGGCTATAGTTAAGCTTAATAAGAGAAATATTTCTTACAATACCAGATAGAACCGGATAAAAGCGGAGAGGAGCCTTTATGACCAGCTCTAACAAGGCTAGGATTCAGACTTACTTCAAGGATTTATTTAGCCTGGATCTGGCTAGATTATCCGAGAAAATTGCTTTTGGAACCCTGCTTGGTTAAGCTTAGATTCTTTTGAACAACTCAGTAGAATGATTCTTTTCTAGACGAATAGGATTTGCCACCATTTTATCTCTTTCATTCCTTTTTATTTCCAGAATATCACTGTGATTAGCTGCAAAAATTGCACGTTTCTCATCGATTATTCTCGTCGTGATTGTGCAAATGAACCAATTGATACAAATGAAATCACTTGTTTCGATCCGATTCCTTTTACAATTAATGGAGAGTTTTTGAGCTACACAAATTGTTATGGTTTGATGTGAGTGTGCGGAATCATTGTTGTGTTCAAAAATTGTAGGCCTTTTGAAATGGATCTCGTTTCAAGTCGCTATCTCTTCTTTTGTGTATTTGAAATCAATGCCGACACGCTTTTTGTGGAATCAATGGAAAACACAACAAATTTCGAATACGCGATTCTATTTCGAGTCAAGGAATGGAGTGATGGTAGGCTAGTGATTGTAAACACAGGTTTTAGATTAAAGGAAATCTTTTGTCTAATTTAGTTGGCAAGAAAATATTGATTATGCCAGCTGATCGAGAACCGGAGAATCCCTGTATTGCGCTTGTTGCTCCGAATACAATCGTCACTGTTGTGGCTCATCCAGACGCCTTTGAGTTTGTCTTTTGTTGGAATTGATTGAGCTCTTGATACTGATAATTCAATCCTAGCAATCGAACTATTCCGCAGCTCAAACTCAATAGCTTTTAAGTCAAAGCTTTCCAATTCTCAGTTCCACAATTTACATACAGGGAGCCGCATATTTCCTGAAACAAATCCTCACCAAAAGTACGTAGGGTTCTGTGTTTACGTAGTGTTCCAAAAGTACGTAGTGTTATACATTTTCTGAAAGCTGAAATGTATCTCTATCGAATGGTAGTAAAACGGTCTTATTTCAATTATTCCTTGTCGATTTTTGATGGTTGCAAGCCGACTGGGCCCGGCGAGGCATGGTAGATTCCTTTGACACATTTTAAGCTTGAAAATTTTTAAAAGTGCTTTTAAACAAAGACTTTTCTCAATTCACATTCTGATAACGCTTTAAAATATCCATAGATTTAAAAAATTGATTTAAAATCATATTGGTTTCATTTTAAGCAACTTCAACTTTACCAAACTTTACCAAACTCTCCATCAGTAAAAAAAAAACTTTAGTTGTCTTGCCACTGTCATAACTCAACAAGACATCATCGAAATAGCATATTTTTATAAACATTCGATAGAGAAACATTTCAGCTTTCAGAAAACGTATAAAACTCTGTACTTTTGGTGGGATTTTTTTCAGGAAAACGGGTTTACGAAACCGCGACATTTGATTGCTGCACACTGTACAGAATGCTCATACAAAATAGTTCAGTTCAAACAATGGACCAAGCTTCGAAGTTGCTGTCAATTTCTACAGCATCGGTGACCAGTTTGCTTTGCCGTGCCCATTTCAAGTAAGTAAAACCCAAAAAAGCTTTGAACTCGTTCTTGTTGTGGAATGTCATCTTCAGATTGAAACAACGTGTAACCATGACATGTTGTTGAATGTATTTTCTGGCTCAACTCCCGCTTTACTGGATGAGAACCAACCAAATTTCCTTGTCAGGTTATCAAGTTTATCCTTTTTCATGACTTTCTTTCAGGTTACCCGTTTCAAAAAGTTCAGCGCTTCGAGTTTCTGTGGCGTCGATGTTCTCCACAAGTGATTGCACATATTGTTTGATTTTTACTTCGAATGTCGATGTAGACAGTGGGTTTTGAAGTTATAGATTGCTAGGAACGCTTCAGGTTAGTCAGGCTACTTTCCGCCAAGTCAAGTAGGCCTCGATTGCATCATTGTAGGGTTTGATGGGATTTGCTTTTAAGAAAGTATTGTTTGATTTATACTTCGAATGTCGATGCACACAGTGGGTTTTAAGATCCGGAATATGGAAAGCTCGAAACTATTCTTGCCAGACCTATCCTTGCCAGGCCTAGCCTTGCTCTGACCAGCTTAACTGCTGGATTAGCCTGAGCTGAGTCAACCAGAAGACAGGTTGGACCTGGACCTGGCTCTAGCCTTGCACAGCCCAATTAGGATTTTGTTAACTTATCTATTAAAAACCGAGTCTAGGCCAACCAGAATACAAGCCTGACCCATAAATAGAACTAACTCAAAAGCAACAAATCATTAGACAGCTATGCTTTCCTATATGATGAATGGAGGCACGATTTGCATCCAATCTCACTCACCAGTTATGAGTACCCGTGGTATTTTGGCGAAACGCAGCTCCATGAAGATTGTTTTGTCCTTCAAACTTCCTATTCACGGTATAAAGATGAGGTAAAACCTTTAGAATGCTTAGCAAACTTTTTTCCAGGAAGATCCCGACTTCCAAAGTAATTTCCATATAAGAAGCCTTCACGGCGGTGTTTTGAGAATTGTAGCTTACGATGATTTTCTGGCAGAAACCAATAAATGTCAGCGCAAAGTTGAACCAGTTCTGAATATCAGGTTGATTTATTCAAACACAAAACAAGCTTCAAATTTTTCAGCTTAAGTTCAGCAATTTTAAACGCAGATTTTGATACAATGGGACTGTGCTTTTGGGTGAGTTCTGAGTTCTTGTTTTCAAATGATTTCTGGAATTTCTGGAAAACCTTTGCTAGGATCAATTTGGTTTCATTTCCAAGCAGGGTTTTGCCAGGGTTTTGCCTGGTCTGAATTGGCTTACAGGCCACAGAGTCTGATTTGAAGAACCCTAGGTCAGATTAGGCAAGATTTAGCCTTGTCTTTCCTATTATAGCCAGCGATTTATTAGGCTGTCCAGCAAGTCTTTTCGTTTCTTTTCATACTTCCGTTGAAAAATAACAAAATCACCAATTAACCTATGGTTTGCTCTAAATAAAAAGTGTTTATTGTTCATATTCCCATCTTTTTAAGTCAATTTCGGTTCACTTTCAAAAAATTCAAAGAGTGAAAACGTCTGTTTTCGTAAAAAAAACCTCTACGAAGAAATTGGCTGAATCAATTTCTCTGAAAATTTGGCTATATATCAAACTTTTTGTGCTCTCTCTTTTATCTATAGATACCAAGATAGGTTTCCTTAGCTAAAGTGTGTAAACCACATCGTCGAGCCGACTTTTTGACTACCCGACTTTACACTCTTTAAAAAAATCCAGACATAAGACATTTTAAACCCGTTTTCATGTTATTTTGTAGGAAAATAATTGATCTTTCTAATGAAAGAAAATGTAGTTTTATCTCTTGACACCAAGATAGGTTTCCTTACTAGGGAAGTGCAACAGGTCAAGATGGCTGCTCCTTTCGGGATGCTCCTTTCGGGCTGCTCCTTTCGGGCTGCTCCTTTCGGGCTGCTCCTTTCGGGCTGCTCCTTTCGGGCTGCTCCTTTCGGGCTGCTCCTTTCGGGCTGCTCCTTTCGGGCTGCTCCTTTCGGGCTGCTCCTTTCGGGCTGCTCCTTTCGGGCTGCTCCTTTCGGGCTGCTCCTTTCGGGCTGCTCCTTTCGGGCTGCTCCTTTCAAGTCCCTCTCACACTGCCGAAAACAAGGTGCTGATGGCGTAGTGGGTAAGAGCCTTGTATCAAAGATGGCCTATACCTTTTTTGCTAGGGTTCGATCCCTCTTGCAAAAAAAGACGTATGGCCGTCTTTGATACAAGGGTGAATAGCCTAATACAGGATACCGCAGACATGGAGACCTGGTCTGGTTTTACTGTAGTGTTAGGCCATAGAAAAGCCCTGGACCTGCCCAAAATCAACTTTGAAGCCTTTTCACCGGTCTGGTCTGGCCCAACTCTAGGGCTATATCTGAATGCGAGGCTTACTAGGACTGACAAATCAAATTGAAGAGCAAGTCAAATCATTTCAGTTCCAATGGTGTCCTAACCCAGGCTTCTCCTACCAAAAAGGATTTGATCTTCTCCTCACTCCTGTATATTTAAAAGACTGTGATCTCACTTATTTTCTAACCGACAATAATCCATCAATTGTTTTTCATGGAGTCTATTTCATGTCTCATTTAGAAGGTACAGTCTATCTTTCTACAAGAATGCGTTAACTTTTCAGATCAGATTTGCTTTGAAGTTGAGAATTGCACAAACTGTGAGCCGATGGTTGTTACAAGTCGGTATTGTTCGTTTAATGAAACGGTATGTAAATAAGATTCCAATCCAAAAATCGTCTTATGATTTGAAGGCCCCTAAAGTGCATTTGAATACTTTTTACAGTACCCAAAGTGTTTTAGAAGGATGGCTGTGCACTTGCTAGTCCGTTCAACTTCAAGAATACTTTGGCTGACTTGAAATGCAGCTACCAGTGAGTTTTTGCAAGTTCCCACTAAGTACAGAGATTTCCCAAGTTTTAGAAAAGAGGAGGAGCAGAATTTGATTAAAGAACGTTGTACATTCTGTCTAGAAGAAAAGCTGATTCTTGCAGTCAATGGAAATATCGACATTTTCCAAAGCGCCATCATGATATCAAAAGGTTTTCTTTGAATTCAATTTGAGACTAAATCCGGCTTAGTTAAATTTCAAGTCGACTTGGAACCAACGTTTACTGTTGGAGCCAAAATCTTGACCACTAATGCTAAAATTTTGGCCTTGGACCAAAGAAAATTGGTGGTGTTTGCACTGGGTTCAACTCTGACTCCTGTATCGAATCTTGTTTTATCGGAATTTCGTTGGGTAGGTAAAGAGCTATTGGTTTATTTGATCGATTCTAGAGTCATGCGCCTGAAGAAATGAATTGCGAGTATCGGTTTTGCATTGGTCCACCACGATTGCACGAAAATGACTCACTAGCTGAACCGGTATTAACATTTCGGTAAGTTTCTGAGTTAAGGTCAAAAAGTTAAAGTGTTTAAGTCTAAGAAATAGCTAAAAACGGTATCTAGGTCCAGGACAAGGGTAAACAAAGACAAGCCAAGCTAGCCTAATTTTATTGTTGGTCTGGTCTGTCAGCTCCGAGCCAATCTGATATTTTAGTTACTATTGTTATTATTGAATGATTTGTCTATTCTCATGCAAATGTGTTCTCCCCTGTGCTTATCCCTTTCATCGTCGAGAAGGGGCCGTCCTTGGGCCTAGGAGGGCCTAGGAGGACAAGTGAGGCTCTCACTTGGAGTCCCCCTTTCCCTTTCACTCATTTGAATCTATTCGTCTTATCATACTACTGTAAATAAAGGTACATACCTTCCGGGTCTATGCAACTCCAGTTCAGGATCCGCACTCTTTAACTTAACCCAAATTCTAGTCCATATCCGTTTACTCCTAGGAACGAATAGGTCCAAGCCCTGGACAGAAACCTGGTCTGACCTGAGCTTACAAATCCATTTAAAACATCACTGCCGAAGTACGGTAGTTTTTACGCATACTTTAGCATACCCATTTTACGCATAAAAGCTCAACCAAGAGAAAAAATTATTTAAATTTAGAGACAGTGACGTGTTCGTGCCTCAGTTTCTCCTTTCAGATGTTTACACCGTCGAAATCCCACAATTTTGTAGCCCACTGTACTCAATTGAACCAATAAAAGGTGACCAAAGTTGAAAAGTTTTTTGAAATTCTATTAAAAGCTACAGATTACCAACGAGAAACTGCGATATTGGATCAGAATTTGTGTGAAGGGACGGCTCTCATAACGTCTGCTTACATTTACTTTAACGAGTTAGACTCAACAAACGGTGAAATTAGACGATGGAACCTCTCTTGTTGTAAGTTTTTGGCATCTACTATATATAAAAGAGATGTATCTGTCTGTCTGTCTGTGCGCACTAATCCTCCGCACCCAGCGAGCCGTTTCAAATAGTTAGTTTGGCTTAAAATTCCATGTATTTGTGCAACAGCTTGTTAGATTTTGAAAAAACCAAAAGTGCCGACGCAGGTGGGAGTCGAACTCAGGTCCTATGGGCTAAAGACAAGCGTGCTTGCACTGCGCCATCTATAAAGGATCATAGCCGAGTGGTGAACGCGCACGTCTCTCAAACGAACGGTAGAGAGTGGTCGCGGTTTCGACTCCTCTCCGTTGACTTCTTTTGCTTTTTGCTTCAAAATGTTTTTGCAGCAGCGAAGCTGTTGGTATAAGTATAACAATCCAAGTCTTGATCAATTTCAGTACAACATCCTGTCGAAATTCGCATAGAGAGCCGTTTGATTGAAACAAACACGACGATGATTCGATTCGATGATTGGCAAGGGAATGTTGTGATGAGGTTTTTGGAAAAATGTACTTAACAATTTCAAACTGCCAATGAAATCTTTGTTGATTGTGAAAGCTATAATATATTGAGCTGATTAGGAAAGATATCAAGAACTCCATTACCTCAAGAACTTTCAGCTCCATCAGTTGCGAGTTCAGTTAAGAAAAAGACTTAAAGCCATTAGTACTGCAAATAAACTGGGTTTTGAAGGGATTTTTAGGATTAGGCCATGCCAGGCCAAGGCGGAAGACAGGTTCTGGCCTTGTTGCAAGTCCACTCAAAAATCCTTAGACCCACCAAAAGCCAAGCCTGGCTTGACTTGACTAACCTGACTTAACCTAAGCTGGCCTTGTCTAGCTTGGTCTGGCCGTTAACATCCCTGAAAGTTACTGGCTTGTCTTGTCTTATTTCGTCTCAAAGGACAGGCTCAAATTTAGTAGAAAGCTGCTGGCTGGGGAGACGATCAATGAAACGGTCAGCGGAGCATCGAGTATCTTGGTAGATCTGTATTCTATTACTTGATTTTATCGAAAAACCAGATAAACTGGACTTCAACAGAAACAAATGGCTATATCACCAAAATTGATCTCATTCTTCTCGCTCACTTTCGAAAAGTGACAACGATTTCTTCAACCAAAGCTACGAAGACAAAGCAAACGACAACAAGCCTAAAATCTTTGAATAATAAAAATAAAGTGCAATTTTTAGCTTTACTAATGATATTATTGTTGAAAAACTTTGAGTAATAAATGTTTTTAAAGAAAAAATTGTCTAAAGGGTCGATCCACTCAAGCTTTAATACCCAAGCTTTAATACCCAAGCTTTCTTACTTTGTTGTAAAGTTGTACTTTTTCTGTAGAAGATATCGAATGTAGGTAAGCTCGTCTCGGAGCTGAAATTTTACATTTCCTAATAAAGGCTGCAATTTAGATATTTAAATACGGAAATCTTTATTCAAATCTCATAATCAGCTTCCGATTCTAGTAAATCAAAGACATAAGCGCCAAAAAGAAGATAAGTGAAGGTGGAAATGATGAGGATGAGTGCACGACTGCTCTTCTTATCCAATTGGCGATAAAAGATCTCTTCGTCAATGGGTCAAACGTACGAAAAATGCTATTCTTTTTATCTGAAAGCTAGTCATCACAGATCTTTCACTTCGAAATAAGACTTGCTTTTACTGAAGCTTTTACTGCTTCACTTTTATTTGGTAAGTTAAATATCGAAGTCGAATAGTCAAATAGTTCAAATGTTCAAATTTTCAGAACCTCAAAATTTACAGGTTTTGCCACAGCCTAAGCCTGTCCAAGTGACGCCATTTTGTCGAAAGATTCGACTTCTTGCTATTCTCTCTTGGAATTGAGCACATCTCATGACCGTGCTGAGCAATATTGTGAAAAGTTTTTCGCTTGTCAATCAATTTCCCATAATCAGTTTAGTCAAGGTCGTTTTGGTGCCGCGATCACAAATTTCGATGATAACAAAAAGCTCCAGAGTCTGGCAAAAACTAGATTCAAAGTTTTAAGACCATTGGCATCAATTTAATTTTAACGATTTAGGATCATACCTAATGCCAGTGATTTATGGCTTGGCGCCCATTACGATGGTAAAACAATTCAATGGGCTGATGGCACAAAATTGACTTTCATAAACTTTGCTCAAGGTAGGGTCCAGGATTTCCTCTTCTGACACCGAGTCAAGCTGACCTTTTGACTCGAGACCGAGTCTATCTTAGAGAGTCGGCCATGGGGATTTCGAATCCGTTTTTAGTTTTTGCAGAACGTTCGCAAACGTGAGATATTTGACATAGAAAATCACCAGCTCCTTTAGAGGCCGTTACCGCCCCAGGTAACGGCATTACTGGGAACCTCAGGTGGTCTAGTGGGTTAAAAAGCTGCTCAGGTGGTCTAGTGGGTTAAAAAGCTGCTCAGGTGGTCTAGTGGGTTTAAAAGCTGCTCAGGTGGTCTAGTGGGTAGTCAGCTAGATTCCCGAACCTATTACATCTCTTGCCTCCAGGTTCGAGTTCCACTCCCGCCAAACCTTTTTGCTTTCTTTAAAAACTATTAGACAAATTGGGCTGTTAACGAGCCAAATTTCGCTGGTACGGCTCAATACTGTGTTCAAGTATGTTCAAGTCCAAGTATGTGAAGAAAAAAGTTTAAAACGTGTGAAGACATTTTGGCTCTTGACTAAAATCAGGGCATTTTCAAAGGCATTTTGCTGATTAAGGCTTGATATCTTTATTATTTTACATTTTGAAAGAAAAGAAATTAAGAAAGAAGCATTTGGTTAAAAATAAAAGTACTTCTGTTTATAAAGAAAACAAAGAAAGGGTTTACAACTGTAAACTGTTCAAATGATTGGATAAACGATTATTTCATTCAAGAGACTTTGAAAAAGGCAATTAGCTGGGTTGGCTCTTCTAAATATGTATTCAAATACGTAAAATGGAAGAGAATCTTGAGTGGCACCAGGCAAATGTTTAATAGAACTTTTCAATGCACCCCAAGTGGTCTCGACTCCTTGAGTATGACTCTATGAGCTCCAGAAAGTGTCTGATTACTTGACTACTTACAGCCCACTCAGCTGATTGTCTTTTTCAAAGTGTCTTGAATGAAATAAGCCGCGTTTATCCAATTGTTTGAACAGTTTACGGTTATGGTTTCTGCTTTATTTTCTTTATAAACAAAAGTACTTTGTCTGGATTCTTTGTCAAAATGTCTGGGTTTCAGCTAAGAGCCAAAATTTTTGAAGTTCAGCCAAAAACTAAATCAATCCAGCTGAATATGTTGAGAATTTAAACACCAATCATAGCGATTGGACAAAATGAGATGATAATAACTGTGAACGTCTTGGCTACAATATGGTTTTGCCGAAAAGAAACGAAATATTTTTGATTATAAAGCTATTATTACTTCAATTATCTATTAAGAATAAATCGTTTTATTGCAAAGTTTTGATGGAACAAAAGAAAAGAGACAAATGAATTGTGAATCAGGCTTATTATTAGCCGAAATGCTATTAAGAAACAGACTAAAATATTGAAAGCAGAAACAATCTCACAAAGGAAAAAGCATTACCAAATCACATTCTATGAAAAACCTCTTTAGTCAACTTTCCGTAGATTCCGATTTCTTTGTTTAGTACGATTTTTCCGAAATTGCTCCCAAATCGTGGATCGAGATTCTAAAGTTTCTAAAATCATAGTAAGATTGTAGATAACACCTGTAGATAAACTAGAATTTAAATGAGTTTTGTGAATTTGGCTGCGAATTTTGAATTTTGCCGCTATCGTTTCCTCTTCGTATTTGAGTTTTAGGGATTGTAATTTTGATAAGTTTTTCAAAATCAAATCAAAATTTACTTCAAGTAAAAGACTGCTGTACTTGTTGAAAGCTTTCCTCACGATTTGCGCACTTCTCTCTTTGCGCATGCCTGAAATTGAATTGCATTTGAATTAAAAAGCACTATTCAAAGCTTAAGGATTAATATCAAACTAAAATACTAGTGCAATTTATATGCCATTACTATAAAAAGTCACTCGTTGAGAAACAAATAATTATCTTCATCAGAACAAATTTCGCATCGCCCATTTGTCCTTTTTTCATACTAGAAAGCACATTTTGGGTGATGAACATTTGCTTCAGATAGGCTTTACCAAACACTTCACCGTACCTAAAGTTTCAACCTACTTAAGCAAGTTAATCTTGACTTTTCAAACGAACATTTCAAGTAGTTCCAGACTCGGTATCTGTACTCGATTACCCAGTGGAGTCAGCACTTCTTTTTCTGATTGATATTTATAAGTTTAATAGTAATCGGTGATAAGCGATTGTTGAGACAATTGCATGGAGTAGAGCTTCTACTAAAAGATCACAGGCAAGGATTTTCCAACTAGACCCTAGAGTCGTAAGTCAGTCGTAAGCCAAGTCAGATCAGAAACAGGTCTATACCTGGTTTCTGGTAGACTAGCTTCTAGCGGCTTTGTGGGTCAGGGTTGCAGTAAAAGCCAGATCCAAAATCTTGGTCTTTTCGTTAGTAGAAAGATCACTTCTGTGTATTGATGAGATCGTTCACAATTTCCAAAGTCCCTTTTCCATCATACAAATGTGGAGCAAAGTTCTTGACCGAGAGTTCTTGGCCGTTCTCTCTGAAAGATTCAATACATCCAATGTTTGATCATTTACTTTGAACTGTAGTGTTTTTAATCTTTTGTCTGTATAAGATTGTGAAACCAGTCAAAATGTTCCGATTTCAGATATTCAGACTACGAGATTAATGTTTTTTTAGAACTTTAAGCCAGATTAAGTGGATCATGTCTGAAAAAAGCTTATTGGGATCATTTTTGATAAACTTTAAGAATAAGCAGGCCACTAGAGTTTTTTTATCTAGAAAATCTCAATTAACTTTAAGAATTTAGAACTAACCGGATTTTGAAGAGTGATTTTGAGGCCAATACCTTCTTCTTGCTCAGTTTACTCTTTGTTCTTTATTGGTCGTCCTTTCTTTTTCAATCCAACTTGAGCTCTCTTCTCTCGTAGACTACAACCGAGTCGTCGACCAGTGACTAAATTCAGAAATTGATTTCCAAGATTTGTGAAAGGAATCTACTCTTACTCTTCAACTACTTTATACATAGATTCACACGAATAATGTGGTAAAAACAATATACAAGCACATCTCCTAACACTCAACCCTTAAACCCTAAATGTAGGAAAGAAAAAAAGCTAAGTCGTTTAAGAAATTCAGCGGTTGACGAATCATTCGTAATCAGCGAGCCGTTTACAAATGTTTAAATACAAAGTTATGCTGCTTGAATGTCAGCAACAACTATTTTAATCATTGATTTCGGATTCATTTTTCTTTTTGCCTTTTTTGATTTTATTAAATTCTCACTTTTTCAGGATGAATTCTTTTCTCAACCAACTCGACGCGTATCAAGTCTTAAAGAAGCAAATCTATCTACTAACGATGACCTAAAATTGAAGTGGGCAAGCTAAAGTTGAGTAAGTGGGCCAGTTGAAGTTCGAATGACTGTTTGTCTCCCAATCGATGTTGTTGATTGACGTAAAATCGGCCACTCGTCTCTTTTTGGTGTCGTGCTGTCGTCGAGGACGGTTTATACCAGATTGACACCAAAAATGGAGTTTTGCAGTAAAAGTTAGTTAGTTTAAATTCTATTCATTACTCTTTAACATTTAGGCTCACTCGAAATCGAAAAAGCTATGTCGTTTAAGAAATTCAGCGATTGACGAATCATTCGTAATCAGCGAGCCGTTTACGAATGAAATGAATGTTTAAATGCAAATTTATGCTGCTTGAATGTCAGCAACAACAATTTTAATCAATGATTTCGGATTCATTTTGCTTTTTGCTTTTTTTTGATTAGTTTTTGATTTTAGTACATCCTCATTTTTTCAGGATGAATTCTTTTCTCAACCAACTCGAAGCGTATCAAGTCTTAAAGAAGCGAACGTATCTACTAACGATGACCTAAAGTTGAAGCGCGCAAGCTATAATCAATAATCTAGCAAGAATCAATAATCTAGAGGACTGGATTGAACCCTTAACCTCCCGTCTAAGATATAGGGAGCTTAGCCAGTCGGCCAGTCAGTCGTCAGTCGACCAAACAACTTTACTAGACAGTAGACACAAAATTGTCATGATTTTCAAAACTTCAAAGCTAACCTTCAGGAATCATTCCGACTTGGAGACATTTCTCATAGCGACACTTCATACATTTTATATTGCCTGAAATTCTAAATATTATAACCATAAGATTTTTGCTTACCAAACTTCACCGGACATTCACCACCATTCAGACATTTCAGTTTCTTTTCGATTGCTGTGGTGGTACGGAGGAAGAAGTTTTTGCAGCCACTAAACTTTTGAAAGGGATTAACAAGTCACTTCTAGATGAATAGCACTGGTATTTGAAATGTAATCGAAAGATATATTTCTAAGCGGATAGGAACCAAATAGGAACAAAATAGGAACCAGATCGGATCTTTATGAGAACCAAATAGAAACCAAATAGGAACCAAATAGGAACCATGGACGCTAAACTCTCTGATAGACGGAAATGTTCGAATTTCCTGTGGAATATTGAGAAAACAAGCGCACTCACCCGCAAGCCATCGCTCCATAAACCATCGTTGCCGGGCTTTTCTCACAGATTGCACAGATTCTATCAACATCATTTGACGGCATTAGTCGACGATTTCTTTATGAAGTTCGGTGCTTTGGCTCATTGCTTGAAATCGGTTCTTTGACTGAAAACTTTTCGGGAACGGATTGAAGCAAAACATTCATTATTTTATGGCTACTTTTATACCCAGGGAATACAATAACCCAAAATACGACATGACTAAGGTATTCAGTTTGGCTACTGTAAATACTGTAAATAGTACCCCACCACCCCCGTACAGTCGCGTAGTCGCAAAAGTTTTCTAGTATTTCATTTTTTTCAAAGCGCCCGTACTTTCAAAAAATGCGTCTTTGGTATCAAAAAATAGCTGAATTTCAGGGCTATTTTTTGATATTTAAGTGCGCATTTTAGCGTAAACCAGTGTCGAGAAAAACTCGTTCAAAGTTAGACTACGCAACGCTCCGCAACGTCATTATGGGGGTGGGGTACTATTACAGTATTTACGGTAGGTTACAAAATAGAAAACAAATGAAACAAACAAACAAGACAAACAAAAAAACAAGACAAACAAACAAACAGAAAGTCTAAAAACCTATTTCGCTTCCAAATTTGACAAAAACATTCGCTAAAACGAGAAATAGGGCATAAATTGTGTTTGGTGAAAATTAGCAAATGAATCCAGTAGGGGAACTTAATGTTTTCCTATAAGTGATTTTAAAATCCTCTTTTTGTACTCATTTCTTTAAAGATTTGATAAATAAATCGGATAATCCACAAAATCGGCCGGCTTTCACTTTCAATTAAACGCAAAAATAAAAGACAAATCTCAAAATGTTTTCTGAGTGCTGAAAAAGTGATACAATAACTGGGAAAAGGTGATCAATATGTCGCAGCGGCTCGTGATTTTCAGCCGCTAGTGATTGAATCATTATCGGCTAACCGCTAGTGATTGAATCACCATTGGCTAACCGCTACTGAAATCACCATCGGCTAACCGCTACTGATTCAATCACCATCGGCTAACCGCTACTGATTCAATCATCAGCTAGTCGATGGTGTTGACAAATTTTGAAGAAACATTTGAAACATTTGAAACGAAACAACGAAATATTTGAAATGCAATGCAGATTTATCTCACATGCAAATAAGAAAAGTTAGGTTAATCGGATCAAATATTTTAGCACCTCGGGAGGTAACTTCTGTTGCCAAATTCGAAAAATTATGTCATCTAAATGAAAGTAAATTTTGCAATCCCTGCTCAAACAAGTAACATTTAATTTTTAATTATTTTTTTTACTTAAACTTGACTTTTGTTCTAGAGCCACGGCAAAGATAAGGAAAAGCTTTTATACTAGAAAAAATCAGTGTTACTCCAAAAACCTACTTAACTAGACTTTTAACTGAATATTCTTTGTCCTAGTGGTTTATTTCCTTACCCGAAAAACAAAATCCTCTTCTTATAACCGAGCGTTACCTCTCGATTACAAACAGGACATACTTTTAAGGCAAGCAAGCCTTACAAAGAGATAGCTAAAACCTTGAAGCCTAATTTCTTGCGTAGACTATCTAGGAAAAAGAAGGGAAAACAATGGGAAATCCGGGTTATTTTAAAATCAAATATACCGTCGTCGATTGATGGACATATTGGTGGGAGTCGAGAATCAATGATGAATCAATCAATGAATCAAAATGGAAGTCGAGAATCAATCAATGAAACGAGAATCTTTGTCGATTGATGGACATCGAAGTCTGATGCTCTTTCGTTTCATGGGTTTTTGCTGCCCCTGCGGACCGAAATCCTTGGGGTGAATCCAAAAATTCACAGCGGCTCCCTTCAGCACCCTTTTACAGGCACTTGGGATCCCATTTCGACCGACGGAGAACCCGCCATAATGGTCAAAATGGGCCGGAATTGGGTTCACCAATTCTACAGCCAGAGTTAGTTTTGGGAAGCGGTGACCACATGGGGCAGACAACGGATTGGTTACCGGATGACCCAAAATGGACGCTTCCGATTTGAAGGGTGGAAAGGGAACTATATCCCCCAAGCGTAGTATGCCAGATCGAGCGCGATTGGGCTCGCGCACAGGGAACACAACTCATCTTTTTTGGCTTGGTTTAGTAAATGTTTTGATTTTTGAGTACTCACAATGGCTGATTAAACACAATTGAAGCAAACCGTAGATCAATAGATGGTTGGTTGGGTGAATTGGTTGGTTATTTCTGTTATTTCAAGATGAGTTGGTTATTTCTAAATAGCCTTTCAAATTTTCAACGTCGTAGAAGCTATTGAAGGAGTTTATTTTAACGCAAAGAGAAATTAATTAATATCAAAGGTGCCGCCATAAGGATGAGAGACACCGCCGGAACTTTTTCCGGAGCCTAGCGTACGGGCTCACCCATTGTCGTCTTCTGAAAGTTTGCAGTCATAATCCACGTCTCATATCCCGTCATTTTGAAAAATGGTTAAGACTTGAGTTCACCACCTAATAAATCGTTTTCTAAAACGTTCTGAAAGCTTGTTTTCATCCAATTTATCAATTTTCACAATCAGGTTTAGCTATTGGGTTTGTGAGTTGAAAACCGAAAAACGCTCGTTTATATCCGAACAACCTAATTAGTAGAGTCAAAGCTTGTTAGTAAATAACTTAATGGAGATCGAAAAATCTCTTTACTATCGAGGTTAAATTGAATGTTTTTGTCAAAGGGGTGTTAGAAAATTTATTTACTACAGAGTTTTTAATATTAGGTTATTAGGTGAATTGAAAACTGCTGGACTTTGAACTAAAATTTCTTCAACACAAAACCATCAATTCATTCGAAATAATTTCCATTATTATTCACGACTTCTGCCCATTTTACAGGCAATTTGCGGATTCCTCTTTCGTAGTAGGATTTTGGTTTGTGTGTGAGACAAGTGTGAGACTCAAAAATAGAGGACTGGAGATGTCTCAGTTTGAGCACTTTTTTCAAAAGAAACCCATTTTGGTGTCAATGGAAAAGTTGTAGAGAATCAAAAATTAGGCTTATAGCCAAATTTCCAAAAAGATGCATTCAGTAGTTCCGCTTAAAATACAAGTTTTGTGAAATTTATTTGCAAGTTTTGTGAAAATTCGTAAATTTGGCATTTCTTGAACACCAGTTTTTGAATCGTTCTGAAAATTTGGCTATAAGCTTGATTTTGGATTCTCTACAGCTTTTCCATTGACACCAAAATGGGTTTCTTTTGGAGAAAGTGCTCAAACTGTCACATATGACAATAGCCGGCAGTTTTCAATTGACCAACCCAGTAGTAAAAGCCAGATCCGGAATCTTGGTCTTTTCATTAATGGAAAGATCACTTGTGTGTATTGATGAGATCGTTCACAATTTCCAGAGTCCCTTTTTCATCATACAAATGTGGAGCAAAGTTCTTGGCTGAAAATTGGAATCCTCTCTGAAAGATTCAATGCTTTCAATTTGGTCATTTCCTTTGAACTGTAGTGTTCATTGAATATTTTAGTTGTATAAGATCGTGAAACCAGTTAAAATGTTCCGATTTCAGATATTCAGACTACGAGATTAATGTTTTTTTAGAAATTTAAGCCAGATTAAATGGATCGTGAACTATAGTTGACTGTATTGTATTGTATCGGGTTGGGGAATTGAAAACTGCTGGACTTTGAACTAAAATTTATTCAACATAAAACCATCAATTCATTCCAAATAATTTCCATTATTATTGACGATTTCTGCCCATTTTACAGGCAATTTGCGGATTCCTCTTTCGAAGTAGGATTTTGGTTTGTGTGTGAGACAAGTGTGAGACTCAAATATGGAGGACTGGAGATGTCCCAGTTTGAGCACTTTCTTCAAAAAACCCATTTTGGTGTCAATAGAAAAGTTGTAGAGAATCAAAAATTAGGCTTATAGCCAAATTTCCAAAAAGATACACTTAGTAGTTTCGCTTAAAATGCAAGTTTCGTGAAAATTTGGCATTTCTTTTCTGTAAATTTGGCATTTCTTGAAAGCCAGTTTTTAAATCGTTCTGAAAATTTGGATATAAGTTTGATTTTTGATTCTCTACAACTTTTCCATTGACACCAAAATGGGTTTCTTCTGAAGAAAGTGCTCAGACTGTGACGTATGACAATAGCCCGCGGTTTTCAATTCCCCGATCCAATAGATTGCCAATGGCAAAAGGGGCGGGGCGCGTACCAAATTCCCGATAACCTCATTGATGTTTTTTCTATCTCTGATTCAAGTCATGCCTTGGTTTTTGTCGTTTTTCTTCTCATCTCTGGTCCCTAGCCTGCTTCTTGATCCTCAAACTTTTTGACTTTTTCTGAAAAACCCACCTGTCTTGTAATGACTTTCAAAAGCTAAAGATTAAGATTTTTTTTAAGCTCTTTCGATTGAGTTCTCCGAATCGAATGTGCTCAGAGAAGAAACCATGGAGATTTTGACTTACCCTCACTTAAAAATTGATTAAGAATGACTTCAAAACTATTACAAAATTGCTGATATTGTTTCAAAATGAGCCAACCAACCTTTTACTTGCTTTTCATGGAAGTTTTCGGAATCATCGGTCTTCTCTGGAATCTCTTTGTCATGTTTTTGATTGTGAAAGTTTCACCAAAAGATATGCAAACTTATAAATGGCATCTTTTACGATATCAGGTACTGATAAACTGTAATCAAAAGCATACTCGATTTCCGATTGCATCAACTTGCTTCGAAATCACACAACACACTCAATTGGTCGAAGTTTACTTTCCATTGACCGCAGCAAAGGGATATGGGATTTTCCTTACTTTGTTCCATCGAGATTTCAGAGATTGTTTGGTAAGAGAAAGAACTAATTTTGATTCTGAAACAAATCCAGGAAGTCGGTTTGATTGCCATCTTCCTGATGCTTTTCACAACATCTCGATGTTTCCTTTTTCGATATCGAGCCGTTCTCCCAGATGAGCATTTCATCTCGTAAGTTTTAGAAGTGGAAAAGGCTATCTGATCTATCTATCTGATCAGACGCCATCGTCCAGTTTGGATGCTTTTGCTTTATTTTGCTTTCGGCTTTCTTATATGTTTTGGTTCGATGTGTGTTTATGCGTTTAAATGTGAGAATCCGATAACTTCAAGTGGAATGGCTGAACAGTTGGCGGTGAGTTGAGTTGTTAGCGCAAGCCTTGAGTGTCTGGCCTGGTTGGCTTGAGCTACCAAACCAACCAGTGGATCCCGGTTGAACGGATCCGAATCCGGATCTCTACGCAAGAATACAAAGAACGTTATGGCGGCTACACGAGCGACTAAACACCTATTCAACGATACTATGCACTGGCTATTGGAGCATCGCGTAGCCGTAACATTCTTTGCATTCTTGCGTAGAGATCCGGATCCGACTCTGCCTAGCCCTGGTCTTGACCTGACCTGACCTAAACTAACCTAAGCCGATGGCAAGAAGAGGTGCTAGATCGGGTAGGGACTAGTCTGTGACTGAATGATTTCCTGGTTGTGAGTCTAGCTCAAAAGAGCTGCCGGATCTAGACCCTGACCGTGAGCTGGACTGGTTCTTTGTCCCTTCGAATAAGATCTTTAAGGCTTATCCCCAACGTTCTTATCTGGTATTCGACGATGATATCTGCTTTCTTGATATCACTCAACCAATAGCCCCTCCATTTCTCAATTTCCACGGTGGAGTTGGCTTCATGGCCATAATTGGCGGCTTTGTGCCAATCATTCTTGGTGTGGTATGGAGTCGCCTTAAAGTCTGAAATGCAGAAAAAAACTAGGCTTTTGGCATCCTCACTCACGCTTTTACCATCCTCAATGGGAATGCACAACATATGAGTCAAAAAACTCGGCTTGCACAGAAGAAGTTTATTATCTATCTTACTTGGCAGGTTGAATTTAAAGTTATGGACTTACAATTAACAAACCATCACTGTATCACAATGAACAAGCCATCATATCACTGTTCTTGTGAGAAAATGTTTTCTAAGAGTGCTAACTGCCAAAAGCTACCTCTTAGCTTTAACTTATGGCTAATCTTACCGTTGATCTCGTCATGTCATTTACAAAAGATATTAAAAGACACGAAAAATAGATAAAACTATAATAAAGACAGAATTACGGTATATTTTAAAAGATTGCCACCTTTTAGAAACACATTCTAATCGCTATACTTTTTATATAGCCATTCCTTTTGGAACGATAGCTATTCCTTTATCTATGGTCATTGTTTTGTTTGCTTTAAGAGTCGTTTGGCCGCAAGGTAAGCAAAAATGGTTTACAATGCTGATTGCTGAATGATTGCTTTAAAGTTGTTGATTTGAAATGTTTTCTTCAGAGCTTTTAAATCTTCTAATGGCTTTCCTGGGAATGCATGGAACAGTCTCTTCAACTCTCATCGCTTTACTAACAGAACCCTATCGAAGGTACATCAAGACGCAAATTTTCCGATTTCCTGGGTAAGTTGGCTGTTGGATAGTTCGATTTTATTAAATAAACAACAATTTGAACAGAAATGGGGCTGTGACTTCGGTGATTGTAACGAGTTTTACCTATACTTGATGGTCGAGGAATGATTATTCGGTTAAACGATGAGATCTTTACTCAAAACATCGACATATCATTGAAAAAAGAACTTGACGAGCTTGGTTGGAATCTTCTGCCCCACGCACCTTATAGCCCGGACCTAACCCCATCAGATTATTTTTTGTTTCGGTCGTTGAAGAGTTTTCTTATGGGAGAAAAGTTCGAGAATCATGCACAGATCAAAAAAAGCAGTCGACACTTATTTTGGCTCGAAAACTCCCCATTTTTTTGAGGATTGGATCAGGGTTTTGCGACAAAGATGAGAACAAGTCATCAATAAAGAACAAGTCATTAATAATAATTGAGAATATCTCATTGATTGATGTGCGTTTGTTTATGTTTGTAGCAATAAACAGTTTTGTGACAAAAACCGACATTACTTTTTCCTCAACCTAATAGTCAAAAGCGAACTCTTGTTAAAGTGGGGTTTTCAAAAAGTGCCCTTTTTTGGTCACTCGCATTTCGCCTTCGAAACTTCTTCAATGGTTCGATCAATTGAAACACGTTTTAGCCTATTTGGTAGAGGGGATTTACAACTTTCAAATACCCTAAAGTCTCGAGTATAAGTTCATCCGAGTATAAGTTCTGCCTTAATTTACATCCGCTTTAATTGCTTTGAATTTCTTTTTGTTGAGTTTTTATACATTTTTATTGTTATATAAACTTTTATTATTGTTCTTGGAGCGCGGGTGACAGCCTACAGGACTACAGGGTGACTACAGGGTGGCAGCCTATCACCATTGCTATTTGTTATGTGCATGGATACATCCAGACGATAGTGCTGAAGAAGACGCTGGAAAGCATCTCTTTCGACCGTCGACGTGGACTTTGGCCGGATGAAGAGGCCAGGGAGGGATCCATAAGACTGAGCACCGGAGAGGAGCAGGGCGGACGCGCCGAGCCAGGCCCGGAGCAACAAATAACAGCATAAAATTGCTATAACCCTCAATAAATTTACTTCTATTATTGTTCTTAAAAAGCAAAAAAGTTATGCTGCAGCGGGGTTCGAACCCTCGACACACCGCACCGGAGACAGCCGTCACTTTGCATGCGAAAACCAAACAGAACTTATACTCGCGACTTTAGGGTAGTTTATAACATTCATCGATTCTAGTTTATAACACCAGGTTTCTAATTTCGACTTCACAAACGCCCATAAGTTCTCGATAACATTCAAATCAGGACTATAGGGAGGAGCAGACACAAGTTGAACACGGTTTGCTTTAAACCATCCTGGCACCAGAGCCGTTCCTCCATTGGCGAGTCGAACACGGCGTCCCATCAGCAGCTGTGACTTGTGGCATGGGGCATCGTCCTGGTAAAATTTGGGGTCCAATAGTTGTCCGATGTTAAAAGACTTTTGTCCATCGATTTTTGGCTAAATCTTTGTTTTTTAAAAAGCTCATGGCATATTATAAATTATTGAATCCATCTTTTTGTAATGTTAAAATTAGAGATAATAATCTCTTTAAATCTTTTAATCGTTTGCAAATTGGTCGAATTTGGATCAAGATATACAAAGAGCAAACTTCTAAAAACCAACGTTAAAAAACTTTTGTCCATGGCTGTAAAATACCTGTAGATAAACTAGAATTTACATGAGTTCTGCGAATTTCGCTGCCGCTATCGTTTCAACCTAATATTTTTGCAATAAATTGTTGAAAAGTGAATAAAACTTGCAATTCATAAAGCAAAAATATTAAGCAAAATCGCGATTCAATCACTAGTGGTTGAAAATCACGAGCGGCTGCGAAAAATATATTAGAAAATAGAAATCTTTAGCAAATCTTCTTTAGCAAATTTCAATTTTATCAAAAAGTATTGATTTTTTATCAAATACTGTCAATTTGGACATTCCATTGAAGTGAAAAATTCACGGCAAAACTTATTTCCATTCTCTTTCAACTTGTCTTTATTCTTCTTAGCCAACGCCAGTCCATTGACAAGCACTTGCAGCAAAGATACTTTACAGTTCGATCTCTAGAGCTTTAGTTTTGGGTATTTGTTTAAGCAAACTTAAAATTTAGCAAAAAACTTGGCAACAAACTTAGGAATATCAGATTGCAAAATTCAATTAAAAGAGTAAATGGTTCTTTTCCGTTAATCCGCAAAAATTCGATTCGGTTCTCCAATTTTTGACGTTCGGCTTGTTCGCCAGATATTCCAGGCAAAGATCCCGCATATAGTTGTTGAAGTCGACCGCAGTGTTGTATCGGGGTTTCTGATTGAGCGATAGTTTCTGATTGAGCGATAGTTTCTGATTGAGCGATAGTTTCTGATTGAGCGATAGTTTCTGATTGAGCGATAGTTTCTGATTGAGCGATAGCGATATGGTTGGCGCAGGTGCGAGTAGTAGCAAGATGCGGCGTTGTTGAAAGAACGAGGTTGCATTGGCGTCGGTAGTCGGTAAGCGAAATATGAATCCACCGCGCAGAAAATAGCGAAAGAATGAATTTTCTCTGGTTTTCCTTGATCATTTTTATGGAAGAATGCAAGTTTTGCCGATGTATAACGAAAATGATCGGGGGTTCATTTTTGCGGATGCATAACGGAAAAGAACCAAAAAAGATAGGATGCCATTTTTCTTAAAAACTTTTTGAAAAATGGGGTAATCGTAAAATTATGTCTAGCAGCGTTCAAGAACTGAAGCTGCTAAAGTCTCTAAAATATAATAAGTTGCGTCAGGAATTTGGATTTTAAAAAAGAATAGATAATCCAGAAGCCATAATTCAAATTGGCTACTGGCTTGGCTATATAAAATTGAGATATTGTATGTTACTTGCCGGAAATAACATAACAAATAACAACAAAAAATTTATATAACAAGGAAATCTTCGAGCCAACCCAAAATTCTCTAAATTTATTCAAATGATTAGTTAAATAATGTAATGAAAATCTTAATGTCTTAAAAACAAAAATTGCTTTACCGGGCAAAATGAGCAGAAAGTCATTTTCGTCAAAATTGCCGGTAAAATAGTCGCCGGTTCAGGCTTTTTAATATCCACACAAAAATCCTCGATACCAGTGATGAAGTGAGAGTATCTGTAAGAATGAAGACGACTACTATTTAGAGAGCTTTTTATGATACGACTTGTCCTGAATTTAACGATGAGCTCTCTTTTTCCGTAATTCTGTGTTATTGTCGTATTTTCCATAACAAGGCTTTATTAATTCATAAAAGTTCTCTTGTTTTCCAAAAGTTTTCGATAGCCGTTCGCATTGCTTTACAATATTCACTCTCATCCACATCGTCGAGTGTGTAGGTGAATTCTGAAAGTAAAGAACTGGCAACAGATTGGGTTTACGTATGGTAAAACCTCGATAACAGGAAAACACAAGAGATTTCGTAAAAACCTTCTTTGCACAACTTTTAGCTGAACATAAAATATAGCGAACATAAAATATTGAATGAAACAAGTTGCGCAAAGAAGCTAAACGAGAATCAAACTGGAATCAAAATACTGAAACTTCACGTATTACAATTCAAAAAAGAAGTGCAAATGGTCAAAATGGGTGAATAATGACAGAAAACGAATCCTTTTATACTTTCATTGCTAAAAGGTACTCAGCTAGAGACTGAATAGGGCTTTGGGGCCTATAGAAGTCAGCTACTTACTGAAGTGTGGAAAGCCGTGATGTTTGTTATCGAGTCTAAAATTGATAAATTTGATAAATTGTTGTTTGTTACCCAAAGCTGATAGCGCTTTAGAGCGCCTTTTAGAATTCATTTACTTACAAGGAAAGGTCACGAAATCAATGTGGTCAATCGAAATGAGACCTATCCGATGCAGAATTTGACGCTGATTCTGAATCTGATGTCCATTTTTGCTAGATAGGTCGGAGTCGCAAGGAATTTGGCAAACAAGTTTTTGGCCTCTCTTATAACACTTCTGCGGGCGCGAGAAAGAAATCGTGTAGCGGATAAAGTGTCGGAATGCAAAGTTGTGCGGGTCGACTCCCTTTAAGTTTTTCTTTTTCTGAACAGCTGTTTTATAGTCGTTAAAAGAGAGGCCAAAAACTTTGCCAAATTCCTTGCGATTCCGATCTATCTAGCAAAAGCGGACAGCAGATTCAAAATCAGCGTCAAATTCTGCATCGGATAGGTCCCATTTCGATTGGCCACATTGATTTCGTGACCTTTCCTTGTTAGTGAAGTATGTTAAATTGAACTTTACAATCCAAAAGATCCAAAAAAAGCATACTAAAGCATAAAAAACTGGTTTTGAATATATTTTGGCTCTGCACCGTAAAGTTCAATTTAGCCAAAAGTCGTAATGTTATAAAGGCTAAAATTTTACTAATATTACTCGTCAGGATACGGAAAAGTCTATTTGTTAACGAGGTTTTTGTTAACGAGGTTTTACTGTATATCTGTATATCAAATCTTCTTCTGAAACTATATCTAAACAAATTTTGTCATATTTTCGAAATCATTTAGCTATGCCTGCTATAGAACCGTTTTAATATACACTAGAGTTAGAGGATTACTAGTGAACAACTAGTAATCAAATAGTAATCCTCTAACTCTAAAGCTAAGCCCAAGTTCTCAACTCACCATCTAGCCATCCTCTCAAAAACCGCTGCATAATCTCAAGTAAAATACCAAGCTCAGACAGATAAACGTAGGTTAATCCAATATATTCCTTTAAGCAATCAAAACAACCGATTTCTAGATTAAACTCTTTGTTTAAAAAGGAATTGTCGACACTTTGATCAACAGCAATTAGAAGTCCGGATCGAACTTTTGGAGCTCGGTGATCACAGGGATTTAGAAGTGGATCTTTTATCGGCTCTTCGTCTTTTACCCACAGGAAAAAGAAACCAAAAGATTGGTCTTTCTTTTCCGAGATCTCGCTTAACAATTGTTCCATCAAATATCGAGTGGTGAATTGATGAATTCTCAACTTTTCCCAGTCGTTTAGTAAACGGAAAGCTCTTTCAAATAAAGAATGAGTTTCTAGAAATTCTCGTTGATTCATTTTTGGACAGCTGGAATAGCGGAATTGTTCGGGAGCATTTTCTGGGTATTCTTCTACGTCACAACTTGGCTCACAGTTACAAGATCTTGAAAGCATATAAGTTGCTCTTAAATTCCAAGCGATCCCAGAAAATGGTCGAAATCCAGGGTATAGGTATGGATTTGCGGCTTGGTCAAGATGTAATTTATCTATAATTTGATGATCAAGATCGATTAACTCTGTCAAACCCAAAGAATTCATTTGTTTCCCTTTCAAAACCTGACAATCAAAATATCGAAGTCCGATCTCGTGCAAAGGACTGTTTTCCGGGAATTCTTTTAGTTCACATGTCGTCAGACAACGACATTTCGGTTCTTCTCGTCTCATCGGCAGTATATTCCAAAAATAAATGTATCCAGGAAATCGGCTTTTAATTCGATAAGATAAAGTCTTGATTATTAGCTGAAAAACTGTTACTGGCTGTTTCAGCTGATTCACCTCATTCGGCTGATTCAGCTCATTCAGCTCATTCAGCTGATTCAGCTCATTCAGCTCATTCAGCTGATTCAGCTCATTCAGCTCATTCAGCTGATTCAGCTCATTCAGCTGATTCAGCTGATTCAGCTGATTCAGCTCATTCAGCTGATTCAGCTCATTCAGCTTATTCAGCTGATTCATTTCCTTATTCACCAACAGCCTTGATTTTCTAGCGCCTTGAATATAATTTTGTAAACGAGTCATTGTATTTGAACCAATCTTTCGCTCAAATCTGGTAAATTTCAAGACTAAATCTTTTTGAGTGTGTAAAGCTCTGCGAATCACTTCGAGATCAATCACATCATCGATCTCAATCCGTTTTTTCTTGTTTTCACTTGGGCCCTCTCTGAATTCTGTCAAATCCTTTGTAAAAGCAAGACCAGAAAGATGATCGTTAAAAAATGGCATCCTTGAGCCATTCAGGTATTGAAAAGGTCTTTTTTGTCGTCTTGTCATAATCTGATCGACTTCTTCAATGTTGTGAATGGCTAAATCCAACAGTTCCAACAGCTCCACCCAACTGAATGTCAAAGTTTTACATTGCCAGAGCACATGCAACGCGAATCGAAACGAAAAATCCTGAAGAGCAAAGTCGAAAGTGAGAATATTCGCGAAATGGTGAAGCCTCGGATCACCCCTTTTCTCAGCCACGTACTCTTTTGGATTTGATGCAAAAAAGAAACTTAAATAGGACTTCTGGGAAAGTTCTTTGTAGATTTCTTGCATCTCAGCAAAAAGATTTCTTTTGTCATCAAGTGAAATCTGATCTAATTGAGCTGATTCGAAAAATCGATCACAGAATGCCTCTCGGATTTCATTTACATCAGATACATCACGTGGTAAAGCCCAGAACTGAATGGATTTGATTTCATGTAAATCATTTAAAACTCCTGTTTTCACAGTGAGATTTTCAAAATTCGTCTCTCTTTCAATCTTTGCTATCCATTGATTGAACAAGTCATGAAATCGGAGATCTGAATTTTGGTTCTGAATTTCGATGGGTTGTTTTTGAGTCAGTTGAGTTTTGTTTGTGAATCGTGGAATATCAGGAACAAAGAAGTTCGAGTCTGGTCCTGCAGTGTTCAGACAGAGACCTTCAACATCAAGGAGAAAGGTTTGATGTCTTTTTCTTTCCGGTTTCGCGATCAATGAAGAGAAGGACTAAAAGCTTGTATAACCTAAGTTTAACGTGAATGACAACCTTCTTTATAATCTCCAACTGATTCAAAGCGTCTTCAACATCATATCGGTCATTGATGTTTGTGTTAGCTGATGAGCAACTAAACTTGTCAAATACTGTCAATCAGGGATGACGATAGTAGATCTGGTTTTTGAATTGAATCAAATTGAATTGTTTTGGTCTAGTTTCGAATCGAATCGGTCCAATTCGATTCGATTCAAAGTTTTTCCGTTTTCGGTCTCAAATCTCAAATCTCAAAGGGCAATTTTGAATGTCTGTCTCAAAATTAAATGTTAATTTGTTTCAACGAGATCTCAACGAGATTTTGACAAGATCACTCTCAAAAATTCCATAAATGAGTACGACGCTTGGCTTTCAACTTTGGAAGGTCATATAAAAGAGTTGAAAGCTTGAATCGATTAGGAAATGGGCACCTTTCCAGAAAACACATTTAAAAATTACCTAAAGCCAAATGTGGCTAAATCCAGCCATGGCCAGGTCAGCCAGGCCAGATTTTCATCGATCAGGCCTAGGACCTGGCTGGAGATCAAGTTTATTTTTTGTTTACCCGAAGCATTAGATAACGTACTTTTTGATCAGCTCAAAGAGTCCAGCAACATCCACTGATGTTACTGAGGGAAATTCCATGTACCCATTCGTTTTATTCCAATCCCTGAAAGTACTTTTGCTCTTGCTGTCAGAAATTTCGTTACCTTCTCATGATCATCTCCCAAAGCACCAAGCCAGCCGCATAAACATCACATTTATAGAATTGCTGAAGAATTTGGCTTATGAAAAAACTTATTGACAACCTCTTCAGTCAATTCTTGATCCAGCAAAAGTTCGGGTGCCATGTAGCACAAAGTGCCAACTCTTTTAACGCCATTTACATTATTGGAGTCAAATTTCTCGAACACCCCGAAATCTCCGACTTTTAAGTCAAAGTCTTCAGTGAGGAAAATGCTAAATTATAGATTTTTTGCAAGATTTAAAAAACCGGTACTTGTCGGGCTTGATATCTCGATGGACGATCCTTTTCGATTGCAGATATTCTAATACGATGAAGATTTCTCTTCCCCATTTCACAACGGAAGCCATAGAGTAGCTGAGGATTACATCAGTGATTACTGAACGGAAGACAATTCTTTTAGCTCATTTCATGGGTTGTTGTTCCAGGCCAGTTCCTGTTTGGACCTGTTTGGACCTGTTTGGACCTTTTTGGACCCAAAAAACCCGGTCTAATCGGACCCCGTCCAGGCTGTTTTCCATTTTCCCAGTCCATACCTAACCAAGAGACTGTTTCAACTTAGCATCGAGTTAAGCTACGAGACCTTGTGCAACGGATTCTACGCAAAATTCTGAACCAAACTTTGTAATACGAGGTGAGCAAGGAACTTCACTCGATGGTTTCAAAGTTTCAAACAATTCACTGGAGTGATATTGCCCGAATTGGACTTGACGTCAACTTCACGTCCGTTAGGCTGCCCGGTCATTTTCGAAATTCGGCAAGGGAAGATTATATCACCGAACTCCGTAAATATTTCGCGCTTTTTCGCGCTCCCAATTTTCAAACGTGTTTTTACACGGGTTTACGATCCACTGGGTTGATTTTAAAACTGAATTTTGCTCAGAATCTTGCTTAGAATCCTATGCCTAACCTTTCCTCAGCGATCCCTCTCCGCAAAATTCCATAAAGATTGGAAAACCCGGTCCAGCGTAAACGAAATCGAGCGGCTGATCTTTAAATCGAACAATATTCTCGTGAACCAAGGATTTTAGAATTCTCATTTCTGCTTCTTGTTTCTCAAGATTTTGAATCTCGTCAACGACCTTCATCACCAATGGTCTGAAATGATTGAAAAATTTTGAAATTTTGAAAAGCACAATCAACTCACGGTTTATATTTAATAAGGAGAAATGCATCGCCATAGCCGCCTTCACCGATTTTGATGATTGATTGATCGTTCATTTTAAATTATCGTTGAGTAAATTAAGCAAAACTGGGCCAATGCTAGAAAAGAAATGTGAAAAAATTAGTGGTGATCGAAAAGAAGCATCGATTTTCTTTCCTTTTTACCATGCTGCGACTAAAATTTCGCAATTTTAAGCACATTTTCTTTTTCTCGCAGCAATTCGCGATTCCGTTTCTTTTCAATTGGCCTTTCAATGTAAAACGTCAACAAATCACTTGAATTAGCCACAAAACGCGTTTCAACAAACCAATGGCAGTCTTTGCCTTTAAAATTGACTAAATAGAATAGTCTAAGGCGTTATAAATCAAGTGAATCAAGTGAAAACACAAAACACGAGTCACCGGAAATTATAGGAAAACGAGAATGATGAGAGCATGAAAAGCTTTACGAAAAATGTTAAAATTCTGCTTTTTTCAAGAGAAATGCAAAGCTTGACCAGACCAGACTCAATCAATGCCTCAATATTGAAAATATTTGTACTAACTAGGGAAGTGTCAGATTTCGCAAACGCGAATTCGAACCAAAGCTTGATGACTTACGCAAGTCGGACACGGACAACACGATGGCGTTTTTAGTTTTTGCCCAAACGCGCTAGATTTCTGAAGAAACACATTTGAAATTTGACCCCCTATTGAGCGATTTATGAGTTTGTTAGGGCTATGGTGGCTCACCCAAAAAAGTGACTCGGTGATGCAGTGGTAGTGCCGTTGTCTGCGGTGGTAGTGCCACTGTCTCCCATTTTTGGCATCCGAGTTCGATTCCTCATGGATCAATTTTCTTACTTTTTATTCTAATGTTTTGAGCAGTAAAGTTTTCTTTTGAATAGTTTTGCGTATCTTTAGCTTCGACGTATAAAAACGTATAAAAACGGACGATTTGTTCTTGATTGCCAACAATTCTAAAACTCAAAAATATAGGTAAATGACCGTATCTAGACCATTAGATTTTTCCGTCTTTGTTGCTTTTTTACTTAGTTTTCTCTACCACTGTAATATTTAACTTTTTCAGGTAAATGGCACCTAATGGGTCATTAACCGATTATCAAAAAGGCCAAATGGGTCGCTAACCAGATTGTGTGATATGGCATAATCAGCACAAAAAAAACCGGTCCAGAAAAAGTGCTTTCGAAAGAACCGCCGCCCGGCATGACATGTTCCCCATTTAGCATTTGCTGCCCCTACTCAACAAGCCTTGGAGATCACCGCATCATCGGAGATCTTTAACCGAAGAGAACAAAGTTTCGGTCACCAACACTGGATCGGCTCAAAGCTCTCTAAAATGCGCTTCTGCTGATAACATGATTATGGGAGATGGATCCGATGGATGGTGGACTCTAGACCCGGGAAATGAGCTTTCACTAGAGTCCCATGGCTCAATCTGAACTGGCGTAACTCGATGCTAAGCTAGGTATAAAAGTCACACAAACACAAAATCAATTTCAACATCAAAAATCTAAGAATAACATTCTAAAACTCCCACAAAATCCTACAAAAAACTAATTGGGATCGATTTATTTGAATCCGATGAGATGAATGAGGAAACACTGACTGAACAAGACTTTTTTGATAACTGGATACAGTCAAACCTCGTTAACAAATAGACTTTTCTGTATGCCGTAAAATTACTATAATTTTAGCCTCGATAACAAACATTACGGCTTTCCACGCTTCACTAAGTAGCTGAACTCTAAAATACGCCCCAAAGCTCTATTCAGTCTCTAGCTGAGTACCTTTTAGCAATGAAAGTATAAAAGGATTTGTTTTCTGTCATTATTCACCCATTTTGAGCATTTGCATTTTTTTTGAATTGTAATACGTGAAGTTTCAGTATTTTGATTCCAGTTTGATTCCCGTTTAGCTTCTTTGGGCAACTTGTTTCATTCAATATTTTATGTTCGCTATATTTTATGTTCGCTAAAAGTTGTGCAAAGAAGGTTTTTACGAAATCTCTTGTGTTTTCCTGTTATCGAGGTTTTACCATACGTAAACCCAATCTGTTGCCAGTTCTTTACTTTCAGAATTCACCTACACACCCGACGATGTGGATGAGAGCGAATATTGTAAAGCAATGCGAACGGCTATCGAAAACTTTTGGAAAACAAGAGAACTTTTATGAATTAATAAAGCCTTCTTATGGAAAATACGACAATAACACAGAATCACGGAAAAAGAGAGCTCATCGTTAAATTCAGGACAAGCCGTATCATATAAAGCTCTCTAAATAGTATTCGTCTTCATTCTTACAGATGACAACGATAAAGTCTATTTTGATATTATCGTTTGTTTTTAAAGCTACTCAGTTAACGGTAAAAGCAATTTTATTTTTGTTATTAGTTTATTATTTATTAGTTATTCAATTTTAGATATTCGATCGTAATGAAAAGATTTTCAATGGCTTTGAAGCGCCAAGAGGATTTTACCCATTTGTAGTCGCCATTTTTGCAAACAACACAGACAGGTAATGATTTAAAACGCTAGATTTTGTAAAATATTCTCAACAATCGTTAACAAACGGACTTTTTGGCGAACCCAACGGAAGATCTTTTTGTTTTCAGTTGGGAACACGTGTCTGGAGGAGCGGTGATTGAACATGAATGGATTCTGACAGCCGTGCATTGCTTGAGGACTCGGCCCCTCAAGCAATGCACGGTCCCTCAAGAAAGAACTTGAGGGACCGAGGTTTCGAGTTCAAAATCCAAACCAAATGCTTTTAAATTGCAATCTTATTGATGATTCATTAATCATTTCAGCATAAGATAGGCAAATGAATTCCTTGTTGTCGCCGGGACACATCGAATCAAACCGAATTTCGATTTGACACAGGTTTATCTACGTTTTTTTGATCGACTCCTTGTATTTCAGCAAAGCCGCTCGGTTATCGCATATTTCTATCCTGATCCTGATAGAGAATTTCATCATCAATCAGGATATTTGGAGGATGATATCGCTTTATTACAGGTTTTCACAGAATTTGATTAAGATAATTTTGTGGGCAAACAAAGCCAATCAAATCTTAGGTTGGTGCATGTTTTTACAATTCTTTTCAAATTTTTGTTTTTATGGAAAAGAATTCTTTACCAAATTTGATGCCTAAACTATTAAAAAGGCCTATAAGTTCTCTACAAAATGACTCTTGAGAGAAAGCTCAAAGCTAATCTCAACTTGGTAAAAACTAATTTTTGTGTAAGAATTTCCAGTACTTTTTTTAAAGAAAATGACTGAACAAATCGTTCTCGAATTTCACAGACTTCTGTAATCAAATGAGCTCTATCTTTTTTTACTTTGATATCAAAATAGTTTTGTATTGAAGAAAGTGTCCAAATTTCCACTTCAGCATCTTCAGTTTTGGGTTTTGGGTGCTCGCCTTTGTGCATTTGAAAATCTACAAAAACAACGTCTTCCGAGCAATCTTATTTAATTATTTCAGCATAAGAGAGGCAAATGAATTGCTTATTGTTGCCGGGACACATCGAATCAAACCGGATTTCGATGTGACACAGGTTTATCTATGTTTTTTTGATTGGCTCATTGTATTTCAGCAAAGCCGCTCGGTTATCGAATATTTCTATCCTGATCCTGATAGAGAATTTCATCATCAATTAGGATATTTGGAAGATTTGGAAGATGATATCGCTTTATTACAGGTTTTGTCAGAGAATTTTAGATTGATGGATAATTTATCGGCAAACAAAGCTAATGAAATATTAAGTTTTCACTATTCTTCTCAAACTTTAGTTTCTATAGAAAAGAAGCTTTTGCCAAACTTGTTGCGATTATTAAAAAGTTCTATCATTTCTATACAAAATGGCTTGTGAGAAAAAACTCAAACCTCGGCTTAACTCGGTAAAAACTCATTTTTGTATAAAATTTTCAATTGCTTTTTTAAAGAAAATCGATCCAAACGCTTTTAGTTCAAAGTTAGCATTGCACTGTTCGTGGAGCACAAAAGCCGTTTTCGGGTTTGCCAGTGAATGAGCAACAGTAGAGTCCCTTTGGACAGCCACGCTTAGGACAAGCGGCCAAAATCTGAAATTGATCACAATGTTTCCGTACTTTGTGCTTTCTTTCCATGGCAAAAGTCAATCCGGTATCTGTTACACTATCCTAATCGGGTTAATGATGAGTTGGGCTTAAACCGGTCAAAGAGTAAGTGACTATAACGTTGAAAACTAGAATCATCAAGCTACCTAGGATTTTTGGCTCAAAATTTCTACCTCGTAATTCTTTTCAACTTTGGGCTGATTTAACAGGACGGACAAGGGAAGTGCCCCAGGTCGCCCTCGCCGATCGCCCGATGCCAAAATAGAAGTGGTAGAATCGTCAGCTCACAATAATGCAAAAATCAGCTGCCCATAAAGCGTGAGATATCTGCCATAGAATTTTGCGATACTTTAAAAGCTTCTCTCGCGTGACTCTAATATGAGCTGGTGGTGCAGTGGATAAGAAGCCCGGATACGAAGCTCGCTATGTAATTTTCGAGTTCGAATTGCTATGTTCACCTATTGTTATCTTTCAAGAAACTTTTCTAGTTTAAAAACACAGAATTTACTTTCAAAAGCTGAAAACTATGAATTCTTTTTCGTAAAATTAAGAAAAGGAAAAAGAATTACTAGGTGAAGAATCGAACTCAAACAAAAAGTAAACTGTGTGCCTTATATCCAGGCTTTTTATCCACTGCGCCAACAGCTCATATTAGCGTCACGAAGCCGTTTAAGTATCGCAAAATTCTATCCCAGATATCTCGCGTTTGCGGGGGTATGGGCAGCTGATTTTCGCATCATTGTGATCAGCATAGTCGGGGTAGGCTAGTTTTCGCAACTTTTTTTGCCCAACAGGGTTATTTACTTTTGGAATAGAAATTGGTTAATATTAGCTTTTTAGAGCTTTTTTAAAACGCGAAAAAAGGTGCGCTAATGGGCAAGGTGCGCAACTCGCCACAACTTTCTTCTAAGTGGACCAATCTTTATGATTTTGCTTTCATTTTGTTACACTTATTGAGATCTACAAAATGAAACCAATATCATAAAGATTGGTCCACTTAGAAGAAAGTTATGACGAGAAACGACCCAGTTGCGCAAATGATCCTGTTGCGCAAAAAAAAATGCGGAAACTAGCCTGCCCCGCATAGTCAATTCTATAACTTCTATTTTGGCATCAGTGAAAGCTTGGCGAGAGCGAGCTGGGGCACTTCCCTTGTTAGCAGCAGGCCCTTAGATAGAGCGCTTTAAAGCAGACAAGTTATTTAATATAGAATAATCATTTCTTTTCTCATTTCTCTAACCTCTTGAGTCATCAGTAGAACCATCAAGAAAACAAGAAGAAGAAAGTATTGATTGTGAGTCATAATGGAAACTTTCGCGAATGCCTTGAAAACTATTATTTTCTCTAGGGTTTATAAACTCAATCTGTTTACGATAAGCGAAAATATATTGAGAAAAACAAGCCATATTTGCACAATTGGATGAAAGCGATGATATTTTGAGAGAAAAATTTGATCTTTTTTGAAAAAGCATGAAATTGATGATGCAAAATAGAATGAATGATCCTCAATGGATCGTAAAGTTCAAAATTTCTTTTCAAACATTTTGAAAGATGTGAATAGTAAACAAGTTTGTTTTGGATATGAATTGGTAGGCTTTAATTTTAACCAACAATGGGCCAGTCAAAGCTGGAATTGGAAATACCTGAAAGCCTTGAACTTTAGTGATTTCATGCGGTTTTAACAAATTTTGAATACCAATTGAAATTTTTATTGACAAAATCTAGAGAAAAGACTACAAATCCTTAAAATGTTAGCTTTCGCAGATGATTCCAATCAACAAACCACGCCAGGCTCCGCACAGAAGCCGAGCTCGGGTTCGCCAGTGAAAGAGCAACAATGGAGTCCGTTTGGACAATCAGGAGCCACAATGACAATCAGGTGGACAAGGAGCCACAATCTGAAATTGAAAGTGAAATTGAAAGTTGACTTCATTGTCGAAAGTTGTGTTTGTCTCAATTCAATTTACTTTTCAGAAGAAGGCAAGACTCTTGTGCATAGAAATGTTAAGATAATACAGTTTTAAATAAAGTTTTTCTAGGTGAAGACTTAAAAGTACGGTAACTTTTCTCTTTTTTGTAATTAAATAGTTTAGTTGGTAACTAAAGCTCCTTAACAATTGTACTTTTATTGTTAAAAAAGGGAGACAAATTCAAAGCCAACTTTATTAATCAAAACATTATTTCTATTCTCAATCGCATCATTTTCACATGTTCAAAATGGTGAAACCAACTTCTTTGAATCATCAACAGAACCATCAAGCAAACAAGTAGAAGTAAATATTGAGTCATAGTGAAAACCTTTGACGAATGCTATATTTTTGGATTCATAAACTGATCGTGTTTACAAGTTGGGCGAATTTATACAAAATGAGCTTATTTGCACAATTTCTTGTGTGGAAATTGTCTTTTGCATTTCTCGGTGGACCAGCTGGCATTCCGTTGAAATCTCCATCGATCGGTCGACTTTGCGGTGGTCGATTCGGTCGAGATCCTATTAAATTTATGCTTACTTTGACTGAAATCAAATATAAAGCGAAATGTTTGCTAAAATCTGCTCAAGGAAAGTTACCGTAATCCAGTTGCGCAAACGACCCAGTTGCGCTAATTTCCGCCATTTTATTTGGGTAACTTGGGTCTTTTGCGCAACTCGTCATAACTTTCTATTAAGTGGATCAAATAAAGTCTTTTGATGAGAGAGATGAATCACTTTTACGGATATGAAAAAGAGCTAAGACTAAAATTAACTAATCTAAATGATATATTTGGATAATATATACGGATTCGATCAGTCAAAGATCAATGCGAACAAATTTTAGCTCTTTTTGAAGCTGTAAAAGGGGTGATTTCGGGAATTGGAGATATTTTAAAAGAATTGGAGATAATTTGAGCTCTTTGAGCTTTTTTTAACTCGTAAACTAGCAAAACACAATATTAATGCAATTTTTGAAAGAATTAGGTTCATTCTGCAGATTTGAGCACTCAATTGCTTGATGAACACTAGAAGTGGAATTGAAATCACTGTCAAAAGCTTTGATGGTGTCTTTACCCACTTAAACTCACTTTTTCCCAAACAAAACCTGGATCGAATCGATGGAGAATTTTAAGGCCCATCTTTTGACATAAAAACAAGCCCGATCCGTCAAAGAATGGCTGAGAAGAAGCCAAAAAACTAAATCGCTTGGATGTTCTTTGTGCAAGCGCACAATCGCGCACCTTCTGGTAGAGGGCTTTTAAATATAAGAAGCTCCTTCGCTTTTTGTATGTCACTCGATCCTAAGGTTTAAATGGCAATTTTTCAGGCAGAACAGGCAGAACTGGAGCTGTCTGCCTGGACATTTTCATTCTCTGTCAATTGCTCACCTTACTTACTTCTAATATCTCTTCAATCTTGGTCAAACTTGTATCAATTCCTAGCCAAAGCTCTTCCCAGATTCAGTTGACACATCTAAACTCTTTTTCATTAAATAACTCCGACGAGGCGCTGAGACAAGAAATGGAAAAGCTTCTTTGAAGTGTTGATGCTATCTCTATTCCGGAGAAAGAACGAAAAAAAACACGAAAAAGAATAAAACACAGTGACAACTTGTACATTTCTCATCTACTAACAAAATTTTCTATTTTCAAAATGTCAAAGCTGCCCGAGCCGCATTGCATCAACAATTTTACCAGGTTTAAATCTTTTAGATATCTACCTAAAATTTCGATAACAAAACGAAATAAGCTTGTTTCAAAGGCATTTTTTTCCGTGTCTGATCAAGCCAGAGTAGATGGAAGCAGATTGGAGCCAGGTTAGAGCCAGATTAGATAAGGATAAGGTCAAAGCCAGACCATGAACTGGCTACTAAATTTGTTTGGTCTGGTTTTTCTCCAGATCTGGAGTCAGGACTGACTCTGAACCAGCCTGGCTTAGGAATTAGGTAAGAAACTAATTAAGAAGTAAGAAAGAAGTCATTTGGTCCTTAAATCGGTGTTATTTTCTGCTTTCAATTCGTATGATTTCATTTGTAGACAATTGATGGAACGGACTGACATTTTGGAGTGTGCATGGAACAAACAAGAGCAAGAAAACGGCGACAATGAGGATGAAGAGGAAGGGTCAATAAACAAAGGGGTAAGAAAAGAAAAGAAAAGAAAAGAGATCAGTAGAATCCATTCGATCAACCATCCATTACAAAATGTCCAATCGTTCTTTTCGATGTCCGTTAAAGGTCCGTTTCACTTCTTTTAACTCCAAAAAACATTTAAAGAGTCTAATAATAGCTGATTAGTGTTTTTTGCTCAGTTTCCAACTGTCTTTCTATATTTCTAGGAACTAATACAAGCAAAAATCATCTATCGATTGCATTTCTTTCAGAAAAATGAGAGCAATGCTAACATTGAAACCGATCAAAAGACTAGAGAACGATCACCAAATGAATTTGAAAAAGTGAGTCTTTTATCTTTCAGGCTTTCAGCTTTAAAAGAACCTTCAGATTTCTTATTGGAGAGTTCTTTCTGTATACGTTTGTTGGGTAATACTCTTTTTGTTCGGTTATTTCAGGTGAGATATCAATTGTGAGATATATTGTTACTTTTCCAGTTGATAGGCTAATCAAAAACTTGAAATTCGAATCAAATCAATTGATTGATAATCTTTAAAACATCATTAAGCATTTAAAACATCATTAAGCACCAGGTTAAGCTATAATCCAGCTCAGGTTTTCATCTATTTTTTAGGATTGACAGGTTTGGTCCTTGCCAGAACTAGTCTATTTTTTGCCAGCCTGGTCTAAACCGAAAACTGCCCTTGGAACATTCTTGAGAACATTCTTTTAGAGAATTCCTTCGAAACTTCGGGCTAGAGAAAAGTTACGCCGAAGCTGAGCTGGAGAAGCAAAAGGTGAGGTTTTGAGAACCACAAAAAAGACCAAAAAAGACTATTGCACCAGACAAAATCGTACAATTTGTCTAATCTTTCTTCCAGCATTTCCCTCCATTGTTCAACGACATCGAATCCGTCTATAAAAGGAATTGTTACATGAGAGTTCGCGATGTTTTTGAGCGACCGATTGCAAGCACTCCTGGAGCTAAGGTCAGTCGATTGAATCGATTGAATTCTGATTCTTCTCATTATTCAGGTCAATCTTCTCGATCGTTACACTGAAGATCACAATTGGAGTTTCAAGTGAGAGTTTGTTCGTTAAAAAGTCTAACCTTTTTAGATTCACTGGTACTCAAACGGAAGTCATCAACGTTGCTTCTTACAACTATCTTGGATTTGCACAGAATGAAGGTTTTATTCATTTCAAAATGACAAAATGACAAAATGACAAAATCAAAATGAAAAAATGACTAACCGGCTTTTCAGGTGTTTGTGCTGAAGCAGCAGCAGCAAAAATTGATGAAGAAGGGATTTCCAATTGTAGCACAATTCACGAATTTGGTCAGTTTTCAGTTTTTCGGGATTTCAACTATTTAATCAAAACTTCTTAGCTCTACGTGACATTGAAATTTGACAGTGAAACTATAAACTCTTTTTCAGGCCGTTCTCTTTCTCAAGATCGCTTGGAGATGCTTGTTGCGAAATTCTTGAATGTCGATGATTCGATTTGTTTCTCGATGGGATTTGCCACGAATTCGATGAATGCTCCATCACTCGTTGATAAGGTACCTAGACATTGATCTAAAAACAGCCAGAAGCCGGGCACGGACCCAGCTTTGGCCTGATCCTGGATTTGCCAAGCCTTTCTTGACCTGGACCTCTTTACTTTCTGGATCCCTGGCCTCTGGCCTTCTCTGACTTAGCTGGACGCTCCTGGCTTCGGTTATAATATCCCAGGACTTAAATTAAAGAACTAGAAGCTTTTTGCAACTTTTTATAGATGTAGTCAAGGCTACTCTTAATTGCTCAATCTCAGAACTCATTGATCATTTCGGATGAGCTCAATCACGCATCATTGATTCTCGGATGCCGACTCTCTGGCGCTAACACAAAGGTTTTCAAGCATAATGGTAACTTTGGCTTTTTCTTATCGACTTTAGAAAGTTAGACTTGTTTAGACATGGCCTCTCTGGAAACGATTCTGCGAGATTCGATTGCTTACGGGAACCTCAAAACATTAAGGCCATACACAAAGGTAAAGAGATGAAAAGAGTAAACTTCGCTCTTATTAACTATTATTTTCGATCTTGATCATTGTCGAGGGAATCTATTCTATGGAAGGTTCGATCGCAAATCTTGCACGAATTATTGAGTTGAAAAAGAAATATGGAGCTTATCTCTATCTCGATGAAGCTCATTCAATTGGTGAGTTTAAAGGAGGCGTTTGAAGGTTTGAATTGGGCATAATAATACAATTTTTGATGAAGTTTTATTTAGTCACTAAAATACATCGATTTGACAATAATTTCTCGTATTAAAAGATAAAAACAGCTTTTCAGCTCCTTGAGCATTTTAGCTGCTGGAGCATTTCACCTGGTGGTCTTTCCGCCCCCGGGTTAGCATCCCAGAGCATTTCAGCTAGTTTTGCTTTGGAAAGATGTGGAATTTCTAGCAAAAATATAGCAAGATTTAGGGCGAAAATTGATTCCAAAAGTTTGGGCATAGTGATTTAAATGTTTCGCTTTTGTTTCAAGATGACCTATGCTAATTGCTACAGGGTCCCCAGTCATTGAGTTTATACTTCCCGCCTTGTCCAGCTCCTTTTTAACCTACCTACTTCGTCCAGCTCTTGGCCATCCCCGGTTCCTCCGGGGATGCCCACTGCTTACCACGCGGAGGTGGCTGGACGTCGAGCAGCGCCTCCCCCGGGGACTAATGGTCGGCCCAGTGGAAGGGGGGGGCTATGGGGAAGTGGACCTGACCTGTAGTGCGGGGATCCTTCCCCCGGGGCCTAATGGTCGGCCCAGGGGGAGGGAGTGCGGGGACGCCAAAGACATCCCCACACGGCCAGTTGGCCACCACAACCACGCAGTTGGTACTGTTCCGTATGGTTTTGCGCTGAAACAGCGTCGACAAAATGGAGAAGACCAAAATGGCCAGCACCCTCATACGTACCGAATTTTCGCGACTAATGAGCGACGAAACGGTACAGTCCAAAATGGACTGCCCCCTTCGGATAAGGCCAGTGTTAGCCGGACCGGAATGGATTCCCCACGAAGGGGCTGCGGGGAAAGCCCCTCTTACGTAAAAGCCCTGTGCCAGACGGCGAGCGATTACGCGGCTGCACAAAGAACTGCCAGCCATTGACGCAGGGTTTTCTTTTGCTTTGTAGACGGCATAAAAAGAAGAAATTGAGCTGTAAATTTGTACCTGAGATTTTTAGGGCCGGGGAATCGATTGGAACTACCTATTTTATTGAGTCGAATAACTGGAACTCGAGTTTAATCGGTCTAAACTTTTAGTTTCAATGAGAAAGTAAGAATTTAGTAAGAATCGGTCCTAATTCCCCTCCTTTAACGAAAATTTAACAAGAGTCAAGTTCAACCAAATTGCTTTTGCCAAAGGTAGCCAGAAGCGAGGCTCTGATCCTATCGATCTTGACTTCACTGCAGGGCTCAACTTATTTGGCTCTGGCCAAGCTCAGGCTTGGTCTGGATTGGACAAGATCTGGTTTACAACTTTCATGTAATAATCAATTCCAGGTGCAATGGGTCGTTCGGGGCGTGGTATGGTAGAATATTGGGATTGTAATCCAAAAGATATCGACATTCTGATGGGCACTTTCACAAAGAGCTTCGGATCTGTCGGTGGATATATTGCTGGGTCAAAGGTGATTTCAATGCACTTTACTAACTAAATGACTAAATAAATCAAATACAATTCTTTCCTTTACTTTGCTTTACTACTTGTTCAATGCAATACTTTACTTTCAGAAAGTCATCGACCATTTGCGAGTGTGTTCACCAACCGGCTACTACTCAAGTCCGATGTCTCCGCCGATTTGCGAGCAAGTTTACAAGTCAATGTCGATTATTATGGGGCTTGATGGGACAAATGATGGTGAGTTGAAAGCGAAAGATAAATTGAAACAGATAAACTAGGTCAATCTAGGTCATTCTAGGTCAATCTCGAGTTGATCGCCTTGCTCGGAATTCCCGCTATCTTCGTCTTCGCCTCAAACAACAGGGCTACATTGTGTATGGATCGGATGACAGTCCCGTTGTGCCTGTTTTACTTTACTATCCATCGTTTTGCGGGTGAGATTTTATAGATTTAAAATCAATTAGCTATAGATTTAAAATCAATCAGCTTCTAGGTTTTATGGTCGTGAAATGTTGGCTCGTGGAATAGCAGCGGTGGTTGTCTCGTTTCCTGCAACTGTTATGACGGAGGGAAGGATTCGATTCTGTCTTTCGGCTGCTCACACAAAAGAACAACTTGATCAGGTGCCTTTTTTTAAGTAAAATCTAAGACCATTTCTTTTTCTCGTTGCAGTATGCTGAAAGAAAATTTGTGTAGGTTGTAAAAACCTTAAAACTTGTAAGACTTGGTCAGTTGACAGACGCAAAAGCTTATAAAAAGCTTTTGCGTCTGTGAACTCACCAACTTTCAACGCCAACTTTCCCTTTGCAGCTTCTGAAAAGCTTAGTTGTATTCCGGCTAAATGTAAGGAAAAAACTTGTAATATTTGCGCATTTGTCTTTCAATTCCTTCGTCTCTTTCGTAACCAAATTTGTAAAGAAAACAAGCACCAGGCAATCCACTAAGCCATTCAAATGCTTCACACTGACACAAGTTTGAAGCCACCTCGTTTTTAGGACGAATTTTTTGAAGAACGGTTTAGAAATTCAAAATTTGGATGAGATTAGGTCTAGAAAACATTTTTTTCGCAAAAACAGAACCTTCTCATCGACTAAACAGATCTATTTTCTTTCTTTTTCAGAAAAAACAGGTAAAACTTGAAATCCGATTACGACTCGTCAACTTTTTAGAGCTATAACTTTTGCCTTTCAGCTTTAATCAATCTAAATTTTTGCTATTCGTTTAGAAAGAGTTTAAAAAATAGAATTCCTTTTGATTGACTACGCTTAATTAGAAATTTCAGATGGTTTTTGAGAGAAATTCAAGCGACCAGGTGTTTGGGTTGATTCAAGCGAAATATTCCTAATTAAAAGACTTCATCTTTACTTATAAAGCCTTAAATTTAACACAAACTTGCTATAATTACAAACTTTTATAAGAATTTTCGGCGTTCCATAGTTTTTTGTTATCTTAAAAGCTGAATTTGTTGGTGCTGAAATTTGCTGAAAGAAACAAGATGGCTGCAAACTTTTGTATCATCCTGTACACCGTAAACATTTAAGGTCTTCAAATGCTTTATTTCAGGTCTTGCAAGCAATGGCTGAAATCGGTGTGGAGAGTTGGTCCAGTTCGTTCTCCAAAAACAAGAAGGTTTACGAGAATATGAATATTCAGTGGTAATCAAAACTATTAAATGTGATAAACGATTTCAAATGTTCAATAGAAATCTTACATTCATAAGCAGTTTTACAGTACAAAGAGCTAGGCATGGTTTGGCGAAGACGGATCGAATCGGATCGGATAGGGTTAGCCCGATTGGTCGGACCTAACGGATCGGATTGGATCGAGCTAGCCCGATTGTCGAGCCGATCGGATCGGATCGGACCGGGCTAGCCCGATTGGTCGAACCTATCGGATCGGATCGGATCGGGCTAGCCCAATCGATTGGACCTATCGGATCCGATCGGATCGGTCCTGATACGATCCGATCCGATAGTGTCCGATCCGATCCGATCTGATTTGACCCGATCCGATAATCATGTCTACAATAAACCATTGTAATATATCTTTATTTTATAAAAGTTAAAGTAAAAGTGGTCTTGAATTGAAAAAGGATTCTTATTGCTTGTTGCCTTCCAAGTGTACACTGTGATGCTCAGTGTTTGCACTGGTATAGCTCTGCAAGGTGGATGTCGGTTTCATTTGATCAAGAGTGCTAGCAGAATATTGACTCTTCGATGACAAAATCGCTTTCAGTAGTCGGAAGAACTCTTTGTTGAAGAAAAGAGTGATATAGCTGGGAAATTGCAATTCTTCAATAGATTGGGACAAATTTTACCCATCACAAGCATGAACGAGCGCCCAAGCAAAGGTGGTTAGCAAGTAGATCGCCCATCTGCTTTCAAAGTAACGAGGAAGGATGAAATAAGTGAGGAGTTCACAAACGAAAACCAGTCCTTGTAGGCACACCTGAAAACAAAAACTTGCAGAAAGTGGAAGTAGAAGCTTGTAGAAAACATGTAGAACCCAGGCAACTCAGTCTTGAGTTTAAAAATCACTTTTTTAGATCGGAGGCGAATCAAAAAATGAAGTAAAATACGAAAAAAAAGAGCTGTTTTTGACCAAGTTATTTTAAAGATAAGCTAGATCTTTAATACCTGTTTGACAAACTTAATCTCGTCATGCCGTCGTTTGCGAGCCACTGCATCAGTGATGTTTACCTGAAAATTGACTCATCATTCCCCTTTTTGTCTTGTTTTTTTCATTCGTTAGCTTGTTGATTCATAGAATTGGTTCAAAGAGAAATTTAAGCAGGCATAATACCTTCACACTGCTAATCCTGGCTTTGGCAAACGCTAAAACGTCAAGTAGAGCAATGAGGCTAACCGTGGAAACGTATCTCCAGAAATCCCAATAGCTAAAAGATTGATGGTCTTGAAATCTAATAGAAAAAGCTTACTACATGATTGTGATACAAGCAGGCGTTGAGATGAAATTGAACTTCCAGAACGGCTCTTGATAAATGAGATGGCAATCCTCTGAAAATCTAATTCTAAGAAATGAGTCAATTCAGACATTTTGAAACATTAAAGCCTGATTTTAAACCTTTTTAACTTGATGATTGATCCTATGTTAACTTTTAAGCCTATAGGGTTCAACTTTTGAACCACTAAACCTTTCTACTTTCGTTTTAAAGGTTTCAGAAGTAGATCTCAAAGGTTTTTGTCTTGTTCTTTTGATATCGGTTAAGTGGGTGGGAATTTCTGCGAAAAGCGAGGCAAACTAGGCAATGTCACACGGTTATCACCCAATTTCATGCCAATTTGAGAAATTGGCAGCAACGGATTTGACTCTGGTCTATTGTCGGTAAGAAATAGGGACTATGGCAACAAGCCTTTATTAGGCTTGCTTATAGCTCTTCAGACAAAGATGGAGCTAGAGATTAAACGAACTAATAATCTAATTGTAAGCTTCATTGATCCTCTGCATTTAAGGGATAGGCAATTATCCTATTTGTTAACAGATCCGATTCGATTCAATAATTGCATCTTGTATTGAGTTTGATTTGGCACTATGCTCAAGCAAATAGCCTTAAGCGCCTCCTGTTTTTGCCTAATTCAAAAAAACCCACCATAGATATACATGTAAAGTGATGGAGCTATGGCGGTAAAATAGATGCCAAAGATCATTGCTAGCACGTAGCGTTTTGAAAAGATCTCATTGTAATGAAAAGGGAAATAGATGGCAGTGAAACGGTTCATCGAAATGATCAAATGACTGAAAAGATTGGCATTCAGTTTCTGGTTTTAAAATTTGTTACGGCAAGCCTTTAGTAAGCCTTTAGTAAGCCTTTAGTAAGCCTTTAATAAGCCTTTAGTAAGCCTACTTCGATCAAGCACTTACCTGTAAATGCAAATGTCATAACAGACAAGATTTATATGGCCAAAGACACGAGCCACAGAGTCCGATTTGAAAAAATCAATGTTGCTAAAGATTGCTTTTTGAATTGCTAAAGATTCCATCCACAATATCAAACTTTAAAACTTTAAAACTTTAAGAAACACTCGAAGACTTTAAAACACTTAAAAAACTCACAAAAGGATCATCGGACCAAAACAAAGAGTGAAAATCGTTAGCAGAATCGCTTCTCCAATTGCTTGATTACGAGTCAGACAACCAAAGGCATTTTGCAAGGATGAGATCTTTAAAAGAAAAGATTTCTGTTTAAAAATGAAAGATACCTTATCCGTGAGAAAGACAATAATATAGTTGGCACACGCTCCGAAAAAAGCTGTCTAAAACAAACAATTATTAAAATACCGAAAGTCTTTTTGTTTCTTTTCGTACTTCCGTTGAATCTTTCGAAAGTTTCCTAAAGTCTTACCACAATCAGTAGCAAACCGGCTACATGATGGTCTTCAACTGTGCTAAAATTTTAGTCTTGAAGTTTTAAAATTGCCAGACAAATTGCCAGACAAACGTCAAATCGTCAAAAAGATCAGATGCAATAAAGATTCTTGGCACTTACAAAAGAATGTGATCCGAAGTGGTTTGATTATTGACAGCCATGACTTAGAAACAAAAGTGCAATGAGACAAAGTTGTGTCAAATGAGCAAACCGTTGAAACTAACACTTTTATTCTCATGCTTTTTTGCACCACAATTTTGACTACGAGTTTAGAAATTTTTTGCAAGCTTTTTTTTAAAGATTAGGGTGGAAAGTCAGCAATTATGAAGCAGTCATTTGAACCAGAGCTCACAGATTTTCAGAAATGTTGTCATTTTTAGGTTTTCGAAGTTCATTTGTGTGAAATTACACTTTATAAAATACATTTTGACCTAGAAACCTTGAACCAACTTTGCTCTTTTGCATACAAAAAGCTTTAAGGTTTCATTTCATCCGTTTTCACACAACGTAGAAAGATTACCCATCTGTCAAAGAAATACATGATAATTTTTGAGTAGATTCAATTCTTTGACTTATTGTCGACACCATGTAGTGTTTTTTGATGATCTTTTGATCTTTTGGAGTAATTCTTTGATCTCACAGAGATCTGAGTCTCACTTTTGCTTGCTCTGAGTCAGAAGATTTCAACTTTTGAAGGGGATTTTCAATCTTCAAAAAAGCAAAAAAGCTTTTGCTTGCGAGTGAATTTGGGCACTGACAAAAGTTATTCTAAACAATCATTTTTTGGATCGGGCCCTATTCTGTCCATTTACTAAAAGCTAGACCAGACAAGCTAGACCAGACAAGCCAGACCTAGGGCCAACTTTGGATCTGGACCCTCTCAAAAGATCTCAATTTTTGAAGGGGATTTTCAATCTTCAAAAAAGCTAAAGTGTTCTGCATTGGCCATAAGGACTGAGATCCCTTTTAAGCCAAATGATAACCTGTTTCTTTAACCGTTTCGATGAGTACTTTGACACAAGAAAAGAAAAAAACACGGCAAAATTAGGATCATCAAAATCTCTTTCGTTTTTGAGCTCTTTTGAGTAATGTTAAAATTAGAGATAATAAGCTCTTTAAATCTTTTAACCGTTTGCAAATTGGTCGGATTTGGACCAAGATATACAAAGATTATTGGTTTTTAATTGCGGCTCAATTTTTGTTCTATTAAAAAGTTCATGACACCTGATAAATTGTCTGGTTGACCAAAGAGAATTCAAGCAGTAATTGCGGCTCGCGGAGGGCCTACTAATTATTGGTTTTCATAATGTTTTTCTCACATGTTAAAAGACTTGTGTCTGCTCCTCCCTATAGTCTTGATTTGAATGTGATCGAGAACTTGTGGGCGTTTGTGGAGTCGAAGTTGAAGGAGGAACTATTCGGATCAAAAGTGGAGCTTTGGTACTTCATCCGTCGAGTCTGGACAACTATTGGACCCCAAATTCTACGTGGTCTGGTTGACAGCATGCCAAGGAGAATTCAAGCAGTAATTGCGGCTCGCGGAGGACCTACTAATTATTGGTTTCATAATGTTTTTCTCACATGTTAAAAGACTTTTGTTCATCAATTTTTGGCTCAATTTTTGTTTGATTAAAATGTTCATGACACCTGATAAATTGTCAAATCCATCTTTTTGTAATGTTAAAATTAGAGATAATAAGCTCTTTAAATCTCTTATCCGTTTGCAAATTGGTCGGATTTGGACCAAGATATACAAAGTACAAACTTCTAAAAACCAACGTTAAAAGACTTTTGTCCATGACTGTAGACATCATCGAGGGTATTCCATGGTTTGGATGAGCGCCTTCTTCAAACGTTCGATATTTTTATGTGGTTTTGCACATGCCCTGACTTCAAAACGAGGCTTCTGGGGACACTCAGGCGCTTTGAGATCTCGCTCGCCTGAACACGCTGCCGCTTGAGTTCAAGGATCGATTGTCGATGTGGAGACGCTTTCACCATTCCTGAAAACAACCATACTAATGTATTGAAAGTTAGTAATCATACCATAAAATAAGAAATAAAACACAAAAACCATAAAAACAGGTAGGCAAAAAGTGAAATGGGGCTCATAACATAATACGACGTTGTTGCGGTAATTTTTGGTCACCCTGTATAGTAAAACGGTTCTACACACCGCGGTTCTACACCCTGTATGCTTATAGGACTCAAAAGACTCAGGAGCAGTGATAAGTGGTTCGACTGGTAGGTCTGTTTGTTCAAATTTACTTCAAATTAGAGCGCAAAATGATGGAAAAAATAATTACTTAGCCACTAATTGGCCATGTGTCTTGTCATAACGTGGTCGTTTTTGTCGACGGATCGAAAATCGGGACGTTCAACGATGCACAACTTTGGCGGTAGCGATTTACATCCGAGAATGGGTTGCGGTTTACCTTTTGAACCTCGTTGCGGTATTGGAATGCCGACAACGTTCTTCCAACGTTCCTCATAGTCGTTGGAAATCGCGTACTGGTCACCCACTTTTCCATCCATCACTCGACGAGCAATCATTCTCTTTCTGAAAAAATTTAAATATTTTGAACTCTTAATTGAGACATACTTTATTTAAACGATAAAGTTCCAAGCTTTTAAAAACAAGAGATTTAAACCGTCAAGAACTTTGAATCATTGCAAGATACCTCCGTTTCTTGACTGCCTCTTTTATATGTCGTAGCCGATTATGAATTTCAGCCGATTATGAATGAGTGGGTCTAAGAGCGTCGAACCATCAAGTATTTGGTATCATTCAACGCAGAATCATTAATAATTATGTTAAATTTTTAAAATTAGAAAGATTGGATAAAAAGAAAAAAAAATTAGAGCAAAAAACTGTTTGTTCAAGAGGAAACTTTGAGGCCCCATAATTTTTTTCTTTTTATCCAATCTTTCTAATTTTAAAAATTTAACATAATTATTAATTATTCTGCGTTGAATGATACCAAATACTTGATGGTTCGACGCTCTTAGACCCACTCATTCATAATCGGCTACGGGGGTCCCGCCGATTTTGAATGAAACGTTGTAGCGCCGGTAATTTTTAACCTAAACTCACAAATTTGGTACCAATCGACGCAGAATTTAATTAGCTACAGGATGATATAATATTGTCCTCATACATTAAAGGGTTGCTCTACTAGAAAGATTTACCAAAAAATTTCATTCATAATCGGCTACGACATATATAAAAGTTTTATCAACAATTTTTTGGTGAAAATTTTTGAAACTTCTAGACTCACACGTATTTACAACACCCAGATAAGTTATAAACAAACGCCCCAGTCTTTATCGTATCAAGATCATCTATCCTTTGCAATGTTTTCCACAAAACCATTAATGTTTTTTGTTTACCAAGAAAAGAGGGCACAATGTGGGTAATATTTAGCACTCGATAAGTACAATGTGTCATCATTGACAATTCTTTGATCTTCGTCTTCGCCTCAAACAACAAGGCTACATTGTGTATGGATCGGATGACAGTCCCGTTGTGCCAGTTTTACTTTACTATCCATCGTTCTGCGGGTGAGATTTTATAGATTTAAAATCAATCAGCTATTGAGTTCTAGGTTTTATGGTCGTGAAATGTTGGCTCGTGGAATAGCAGCGGTGGTTGTCTCGTTTCCTGCAACTGATATGACGGAGGGAAGGATTCGATTCTGTCTTTCGGCTGCTCACACAAAAGAACAACCTGATCAGGTGCGATATAGCGATATAAAAATATTCAAAGGCTTTATTTCAGGTCTTGCAAGCAATGGCTGAAATCGGTGTGGAGAGTTGGTCCAGTTCGTTTTCCAAAAACAAGAAGGTTTACGAGAATATGAATATTCAGTGGTAATCAAAACCATTAAATGTGATTTTAAATGTTCAATAGAAATCTTAAATTCATAATCAGTTTTACAGTACAAAGAGCTAGACATGGTTTGGCGAAGACGGATCGAATCGGATCGGATAGGGTTAGCCCGATTGGTCGGACCTAACGGATCGGATTGGATCGAGCTAGCCTGTCGGATCGAGCTAGCCTGTCGACCCTGTCGGATCGAATCGGAACGGGTTAGCCCGATTGTCGGACCTATCGGATCGAGTTAGCCCAACCGATTGGACGTATCGGATCCGATCAGATCGGTCCTGATACGATCTGATCCGATAGGGTCCGATCCGATCCGATCTGATCTGATCCGATCCAATAATCATGTCTACAATAAACCATTGTGATATATCTTTATTTTATAAAAGTTAAAGTAAAAGCAAGTGGTCTTGAATTGAAAAAGGATTCTTATTGCTTGTTGCCTTCCAAGTGTGCACTGTGATGCTCAGTGTTTGCACTGGTATAGCTCTGCAAGGTGGATGTCGGTTTCATTTGATCAAGAATGCTAGCAGAATATTGACTCTTCGATGACAAAATCGCTTTCAGTAGTCGGAAGAACTCTTTGTTGAAGAAAAGAGTGATATAGCTGGAAAATTGCAATCCTTCAAAAGATTGGGATAAATTTTACCCATCACATGCATGAACGAGCGCCCAAGCAAATGTGGTCAGCAAGAAGATCACCCATCTGCTTTGAAAGAAACGAGGAAGGATGAAATAAGTGAGCAGTTCACAAACGAAAACCACTCCTTGTAGGCACACCTGAAAACAAAAACTTGTAGAAGGTAGAAGTAGAAACTTTAAAGATAAGCTAGCTCTTCATAAGCTGAAAGATTCTCGGAATCCTCCAAAGTTAAACTTTAATACCTGCTTGACAAACTTAATCTCGTCATGCCGTCGTTTGCGAGCCACTGCATCAGTGATGTTTACCTGAAAATTGACTCATCATTCCCCTTTTTGTCTTGTTTTTTTCATTCGTTAGCTTGTTGATTCAAAGAGAAATTTAAGATGGCACAATACCTTCACACTGCTAATCCTGGCTTTGGCAAACGTTAAAACGTCGAGTAGAGCAATGAGGCTAACCGTGAAAACGTATCTCCAGAAATCCCAATAGCTAAAAGATTGATGGTCTTGAAATCTAATAGAAAAAGCTTACTACATGATTGTGATACAAGCAGGCGTTGAGATGAAATTGAACTTCCAGAACGGCTCTTGATAAATGAGATGGCAATCCTCTGAAAATCTAATTCTAAGAACTGAGTCAATTCAGACATTTTGAAACATTAAAGCCTGATTTTAAACCTTTTTAACTTGATGATTGATCCTATGTTAACTTTTAAGCCTATAGGGTTCAACTTTTGAACCACTAAACCTTTCTACTTTCGTTTTAAAGGTTTCAGAAGTAGATCTCAAAGGTTTTTGTCTTGTTCTTTTGATATCGGTTAAGTGGGTGGGAATTTCTGCGATGAGCGAGGCAAACTAGGCAATGTCACACGGTTATCACCACAATTTCATGCCCAGAAATAGATTGTCTCGTTGAGGTACGGGTAGGCGAACACAAGACGCAAAAAGGAAAGGGTTTAGAGGCTGAACTTTAGAAAAAATTCTCATTGGCTACATCAGATTGTTCTATGAAATAAAGAAATTTGCTGAAACCGTGAATTCTTAGTATTCTGTCTTCATATTCTAAGCAAAAGGTAAGCGTCAGAGTTGAATATTTGAAATTGGCAGCAACGGATTTGACTCTGGTTTGTTGTAAAGTAAGAATTAGGGACTACGGCACTCTAACAAGCCTTTAATTGGCTTGGTTTTAGACAAAGAAGGAGCTAGAGGTTAAAACAACTAATGGTCTAATTGTAAGCTAGATTGAGTCATATCCTCTGCGTTTAAAGGATGAGCGATTATCTAATTTATTAACGATTCCAGAATTACGTCTTGTATCGAGTTTGATCTGGCACTATGCTCCAGCAAATAGCCTTAAGCGCCTCCTGTTTTTGCCTAATTCAAAAAAACCCACCATAGATATACATGTAAAGTGATGGAGCTATGGCGGTAAAATAGATGCCAAAGATCATTGCTAGCACGTAGCGTTTTGAAAAGATCTCATTGTAATGAAAAGGGAAATAGATGGCAGTGAAACGGTTCATCGAAATGATCAAATGACTGAAAAGATTGGCATTCAGTTTCTGGTTTTAAAATTTGTTACGGCAAGCCTTTAGTAAGCCTTTAGTAAGCCTTTAGTAAGCCTACTTCGATCAAGCACTTACCTGTAAATGCAAATGTCATAACAGACAAGATTTATATGGCCAAAGACACGAGCCACAGAGTCCGATTTGAAAAAGTCAATGTCGCTAAAGCATTTTTGAATTGCTAAAGATTCCTTCCACAATATCAAACTTTAAAACTTTAAATCTTTAAAACTTTAAGAAAATTCAAGACTTTAAAACACTCACAAAAGGATCATCGGACCAAAATAAAGAGCGAAAATCGTTAGCAGAATCGCTTCTCCAATTGCTTGATTACGAGTCAGCCGACCAAAGGCATTTTGCAAGGATGAGATCTTTAAGAGAAAAGGTTTTCTTTTTAAAAATCAAAGATACCTTATCCGTGAGAAAGACAACAATATAGTTGGCACAAGCTCCGAAAAAAGCTGTCTAAACAAAACAACTATTGGGTTGATGAATTGAAAACTGCGGGACTTTAAACTAAAATTTATTCAACATAAAATCATCAATTCATTCCAAATAATTTCCATTATTAGTGACGACTTCTGCCCATTTTACAGGCAATTTGCGGATTCCTCTTTCGTAGTAGGATTTTGGTTTGTGTGTGAGACAAGTGTGAGACTCAAAAATAGAGGACTGGAGATGTCCCAGTTTGAGCACTTTCTTCAAAAGAAACCCACTTTGATGTCAATAGAAAAGTTGTAGAGAATCAAAAATTAGGCTTATAGCCAAATTTCCAAAAAGATACACTTAGTAGTTTCGCTTAAAATGCAAGTTTTGTGAAAATTCGTAAATTTGGCATTTCGTGAAAACCAGTTTTTGAATCGTTCTGAAAATTTGGATATAAACTTGATTTTTGATTCTCTACAACTTTTCCACTGACACCAAAATGGGTTTCTTTTGAAGAAAGTGCTCAAACTGTGACGTATGACAATAGCCCGCAGTTTTCAAGTCACCAACCCAATATTAGAATACAGAAAGTCTTTTTTCTTTTCTTTTCGTACTTCCGTCGAATTTTTTGAAAGTTTTCTAAAGTCTTACCATAATCAGCAGCAAACCGGCTACATGATGGTCTTCAACGGTGCTAAAATTTAGTCTTGAAGTTTTAAAATTGCCAGACAAACGTCAAATCGGCAAAAAGATCAGATATAATGAAATTCTTGGCACTTACAAAAGAATGTGATCCGAAGTGGTTTGATTATTGTAATCCGAAGTGTCAGCCATGATTTAGAATGAGTTCAATGAGAAAAAGTTGAGTCAAATGAGCAAACCGTTGGAACCAACACTTTTATTCTCATTCATTTTCTCACCACAATTTTCAAACATTCTACGAATTACAATTTTGACTACGAGTTCAGAGATTTTCTCAAGGTTTTTTTTAAGGATTAGGGTGGAAAGTCAGCAATTATGAGGCGATCATTTAAACCAAAGCTCACAGATTTTCAGAAATGTTGTCATTTTTAGGTTTTCGAAGTTCATTTGTGTGAAATTACACTTTATAAAATACATTTTGACCTAGAAACCTTGAACCAACTTTGCTCTTTTGCATACAAAAAGCTTTAAGGTTTCATTTCATCCGTTTTCACACAACATAGAAAGATTACCCATCTGTCAAAGAAATACATGATAGTTTTTGAGTAGATTCAATTCTTTGACTTATTGTCGACACCATTTAGCTTTTTTTGATGATCTTTTGGAGTAATTCTTTGACCAGAGATTCTTTCGTCAGATAAAAATAGAGTTCCCCATCCCTACAAATTTGGTTGCCTATCTCTTTAAATTTGGCTCCCTATCTCAGACTCAGACAGAGATCTGAGTCTGAGATAGGCAACCAAATTTGTAGGGATGGGGAACTCAGATCAGTTCTCTGTCTGAGTCTGAGAGCTTTTGCTTACTAGTGAATTCGGGCACTGACAAGAGACACTAAACGATCATTTTCTGGATCGGGCCAGATTCTGTCCATTTACTTTGGGGTCAGGCTAACTAAAAGCTAGACCAGACGAGCTAGCCCTGGGGCCAAGTTTGGAGCTGGGACCTGGGACCTGGGACCCTCTCAAAAGATCTCAATTTTTGAAGGGGATTTTCAATCTTCAAAAAAGCTAAAGTGTTCTGCATTGGCCATAAGGACTGAGATCCCTTTAAGCCGAATGATAACGTGTTTCTTTAACCGTTTCGATGAGTACTTTGACACCAGAAAACACGGCAAAATTAGGATTATCAAAATCATCCTCTTTTTCGTTTTTGAGCTCTTTCTGGGGCTCCAGGATCATTAGTATCGTGGGATATATCGTCAAAGAGCTCTTCTTCCATCAAAATTGCATTTGCTTTGGCGTTTGTTTTCGATTATTCTGGATAATTTCATCTTGATTGATTGATTTCTTCTGCTTTTACTTTCCGCAAGTCCGTTTGCTTCAAAACGTCAAACTTTTCGATTAATTTTCCTTTGATGACTGCCGAGGAAACCATTTTACCTTAAAAAAAACTAAATTTATATGCGTTTATTATAAAAATAACCATGAAAAATGTGCAGAAAAGTAGCTCTTTTCTGTGAAATCTTATTTGATGCTTCGATTTTGAATATCTCTGATTCTTTTGTCCTTCCTCTAAAGATCGTTTGTGTGATAAAAGGGGATGGAGCCCACTTTGTATTACTTTTCTTTTGCATTGAAACACTGAACCAACGGTTGATTCTATTTTATTGGATTTTCTCGCTAGATTAGTGATTGTGCTATATTCTTTTTTGTTTACGAAGAAAAGAGGGCACAATGAGGGCAATATTTAGCACTCGATAAGTACAATGTGTCATCCTTGACAATTGTTTGATCGGATGGATAGAGAACAACTTGGCGATTAGTTTTAAAGTGATTAACGGATTGATTTGTACAAGTTTTATATAATAGTATTTTTTTAATTATCAAAATATTCACTTTTCCGGCAATGGAGGCGCCTCGCCAAGTCGTTTTTGATCTCTGGTGAGCATGAACTGGTCAGATCTCTGTGACTCGATTACAATCGGTAGTTCAAAGCTCTGTATGTTTAAATCTTACAAATTATGTTATGCTTTAGTAAATTAGTAAGCTTATCAAATTTTGCAAGCACTTCCTTGACAGATTCCATTCAAAAGAACTTTCCAATTCATAATTGCGGCAAGGAGTTTCCGATAAACGAAGCAAATACAGTCAAACCTCGATTTAACGATTCTCAAGGGATCGGGATTCGAGGTCGGATGGATAGAGATCGTTAAATCGAGGTTTCACTGTAGTAAAAGTAAGAGAATTTCACCTTTTAAACTTCAAGAAACTTCTGTTCTACGTATAAAGAAAAACTGAGATTAATTTATCCGATGCCTGAGTTATTCTTGGGCTCAGGCTCTTAGGCTCAGGCTCTTAGGCTCAGGCTCTTAGGCTCAGGCTCTTAGGCTCAGGCTCTTAGGCTCAGGCTCTTAGGCTCAGGCTCTTAGGCTCAGGCTCTTAGGCTCAGGCTCTTAGGCTCAGGCTCTTAGGCTTAGCTGAATCCATTGGCTGAATTGTTAATAGAGTTTTTGTAGAATAGTTCACATAAAAGTTTTTATTCACCAATATTTTGAGTAAGATTCGTGAATTAGTCTCTCGTCGGCGCTTTTCTCAAGATTTCTGGAGATTTGCTGAAAGAATCAATAAGATCACTCACTTTTTGAGCTTTTAACCAAGTCAACCACGTCAAATATCGAAAAACAAAACCTTCTGTCGTTTCTCTCGAATTCTTCTTAGAATATATCGAAGGGAAAGACAACCAGCAACCGTGTAGAAAGAGTAAAGCTAAATGAAAAGGTGATAAATGAGTTATAATCTACAAGTCTGGTAAGCTAAACGATCTAAAAACAAGAATAGACGATCTAAAACAAGACTAGACGATCTAAAAACAAGAATAGACGATCTAAAAAGAAGACTAAACAATCTAAAAACATTAAAAAAAGAAATAGAAAAGAAAAAACAGTAAGAAATAGTAAGAAATAGTAAGAAATAGGAAGAAAACTATCCAAATCAAGTTGACAGTTTTACATTTGATCAGTTCAATGTTTTAATGATTATGTGAGCCTTGTGCTTCATTAAATAGCATCAGAATAAATAGAAATAACAGAAATAACAGAAATAACATCAGAATTAGACAGATGTAAACTGTTCCTTTGACTACGATCGTTTTAAACTCCCTTACCCTAATTTTGTTTGATTTTTAAGAAATAAAATACTTTTTAGAAGACGATCTAGTCTTTTCAAAGGATTCTTTTCAATTACCAACATATAAACTCAAAAAGATCGTCCTTGTTCTCATTTCTTGTGCGTTTGGAAGTGCCAATGGGAGATAGGCTTGAATGAGAAGAAAAGATAATTGAATGATGAAATGTAGAGCTGAAATGATTTAGTTTAAATTCAATTTTCAAGCTTTCCCACCAGAGAATGGTAATAGCATTAGATTCGCGTTTCTTTTCTCAGCAATGGTGAAATTTGAGCTTAAATCGTAGGTTCTGAAGAGAAAATTGTTTTCAGTTAAGAAACAGTAACTTTTTTTTCCACTTCTTACCTCACTTTGACACTTTTCCTTTTGAGAGTTAGAAAGAGAAGTATCAATAGACTGATGATATCAACAATTGGAGAGAATATGAGAAACATTAGTGTCTGCTTGGCTGTATATTTATTCCCAAGGGTACAATATGGGACCATCGATGAGAAATTCTCATTCCACAGAATTGAAAGGTAAACCAGGGCCACGTAGAGGGTCTGGAAAACTGGATTTTGATTAAGATTTACAATTGTATTGAATTTGTTGTATTGAAATTACAAGTAGGATAACTTGAACTAACAAGAGAACTGGCCAAAGACATGGTCAGGCTTGATTACAAGGGAATGTCAACGGATGTCGTTGTGATGTGGTGGCCAAATGAAAAGAGCCATAGACTATTCTATGCAGAATTTCACGGCGATTCCGAATCTGTTTTCCGTTTCTGCTATGGAACTTCTGTCAAAAGTTATAAGCGTGCAAAGATTTGTATGGGAAAAAGAATCAAAAATTACAGTTTATAAGCCTCTTTCATAAGCGAGTTGATAAGCAGAGCTTTAATAAACAGTCGTGGCCGAGTGTCAGTGGGTTTGGACACAAGGCTTGTTCCTCTCTGGTTCCAGTCCGCCAGTCTACTTTTTCCTTTTGCTTTTTGTTTTTGCAAAGTTAATTGTTCTCCGTTTCAAATACAAGTTTATTTTAAACTACTTCTCATAAAAACTTTACTTTTAACTATTAACATCAAAGAGATCTCATTAAAATTCAAAAAACAAGAATTCGACATTGATGTCAATGAACGAGTTTCATTCCGGGCAATTGCTCTAACCACTGAGCTATCCGGCACCTTAACTTGCCAAGAGAAAGAAGGAAAGACGAGGGGGAAGAAGAAAGAAGGAAAGATGAGGGGAAAGAAGAAAGAAAGGAAAGACGAGGGGGAAGAAGAAAGAAGGAAAGATGAGGGGGAAGAAGAAAGAAAGAAGGAAAGACGAAGGGGAAGAGGAAAGAAGGAAGGCTAAAATAAGCCTAAAATTTCTTGCATTAAACTAACAAGGGAACTGGCCAAAGCCAAGTTTTTAATTAACTGGTTCAGGTATTGCTTATGGACCTGACAAAGCTGGATCTTGAGATGCTTCAAAACCAGGTCTATTTTACCCTGTCGAATCCGGCTTGGAGCAGTGAGACAAGTTAAGCCAGGTCAAACCAAAAAGAGTTGACCTAGTCCAGAAGCCTATTGCTGATAGAGCTGCTAGTTGGTTTTCAAAAACTGCTCACCGGCTCTGAATCGCAAGAGATCTTGGCTTTGAAGTTCTTGTAAACTGCATCTGCTAGACTAGCTCCCATTTGAAAAACCTAATGTACTTGAGGGTTCCATTGGGATTTCTAATATCTCTTCAAACCCACCGACATCGCAATCAAAGACCATCCGATCCACGATTTCATCTTTTCATATCTTGATCCATAATAACTAGCGCAAATTCTTTCGATACAAAGTGATAAATGGATGACTGGTGTGATCATTGGTGTCATATTTCCTGGTCCTCTCACAATGTCACAAAATAGAGTGGAGACGAAGAGCGCACAGCCACTTTGAGACCAATAATTGAACAAGTTAGAGCCCTGAAAGTTGTCTGGAAGCTGTAGCTAGTTCAGCTTAGGTACTACGGGTTAAAAATAGTTTAACCAAAGCCAATTGGTTAAGCAACTCAACTCTAATAGTAATAAAGTAAAGAAATGAATGGCAAAGGATTTTGAATCGAGGAGAATTGAACCCTTGACCTTCTGCTTAATGGGTAGATGCTCTACCACTGACAAGGGAATGATTCAAACTGAGGCTGACGTTTCGGGATAAGCTCGGAGTGCAAACACCAGTTGGATATACGCATTCCAAATATCTATTCAATTTTTGCTCAAATTAAAATCCTGGCGAGAAAAATGAATATGATGTTTAAATCATTTTCGATCGATCATTTTGGACTTTGAAGTTCATTTAAAGTTTCGCCTATTAAAAATCGTCTCCTAGCCAATAAGACAAGACAAATGCGGCCGAACGAACAGCAGCAATAGTCTAGAGCATAGTGTGACTCCAGAGCTGATACAGGTCTTTGCGGTGGGTTCAAGTCCCGTCAGTGACAAACTTTTTTGAAACAAATAGACAAATACAATTTTTAAGGCTATTACAGTTTGTCAGCCACAGTTTGGATCATTTCTTTGTGACCTATCGGCCTAAGAAGAAATAGAAAAGACAAGAAAGAGGAAAAAAGACCAGTTTTGCTTTGAAAACTACCATTGAGCTGATTAAGCTGATCGCGTGAAGTAGATACCAAAGTAACATGTAAATGACAAGTATCTGAAAGGAAACAAGTTGCCGGTGCATTTAAAACTTGTTTAATTATTCATGCAGATCTTTGACTCAAATTATCCAACAATTGCAAGTCCCACTCAATTAGGAAATGAAAATTTGTTTATTATTATTGGGTTGGTGAATTGAAAACTGCCGGGGTATTGTCACAGTTTGAGCACATTCTCCAAAAGAAACCCATCTTGGTGTCAATGGAAAAGTTGTAGAGAGTCAAAAATGAAGCTTATATCCAAATTTTCAGAACGATTCAAAAACTGGTTTTCAAGAAATGCCAAATTTACGAATTTTTACAAAACTTGGATTTTAAGCGAAACTACTAAGTGTATCTTTTTGGAAATTTGGTTATAAGCCTAATTTTTGATTCTCTACAACTTTTCCATTGACACCAAAATGGGTTTCTTTTGAAGAAAGTGCTCAAACTGGGCGGCAGCTGACATCTTCAGTCCTCCATTTTTGAGTCTCACACTTGTCTCACACACAAACCAAAATCCTACTACGAAAGAAGAATCCGCAAATTGCCTGTAAAATGGGCAGAAGTCGTCAATAATAATGGAAATTATTTGGAATGAATTGATGGTTTTATGTTGAATAAATTTTAGTTCAAAGTTCGGCAGTTTTCAATTCACCAACCCAATAGAACTATCATAGAATTTTGCTAAACAAACCTTGCAATTAGGATGAAAATACGATCTGTTGAACTCTCTTATTACCGGAATACACAAAAAGATGGTAATAAAGCCTGAAATGATGTGAAAGCAGAGAACGATTTGGAATGGAATGTAGGTTTTGAATAGATCGGCTGTTCCAATACAAGTTGATTCATCCATTTCTATTTCTACAGACATTTCTTTCAAGAACTTGAACAAGACTATTCAAAAGTCACTAAGTTCTGATCAATTTCAATCGTCAATTAAAAATTAAAAGGTGACTTGTAAAGAGGACTTAAAAAGACAACCATTGTAGTCAAAAGGCAGCAATGTACAAAGTCCATCTTCTTTTTTGAACTAAACAAAAGGAAATTTTACGTTTTTTTGCTAAAGAATCGATAGCTTACTAACAGATGTAGTCCGATTTGGCTTCGGTTTTGTAAATTTTCATTAGAATCCTTTCGATTTAAGCTTTTAGCTAAACTTTTGTTATTTTTTTTTTTACTTTTACGGCATATAGGCCAACTAGAGAATAAAAAAATAGACCATTTCAAGCGCTTTCTCACAAAAAACTACGCAAAAATCAAAAATTAAAGTATAAGTGTTCATTAATGCTATACTACTCCCTTCTTACGAACTTTTTATAGATTCAAAACTAAGAAACACTTAAGATAACAGGGAATACAAGTTATTGTAGTGCTTGAGCTTGAGCTCAAGCTTGAGATTATTTCAATCCAAATCAGATTTCTGCGGTTAGCTAAACTTTTATCATATTTTGTAATGTTCACGGCATATAGGCCAACTAGAGAACGAAAAAGTGGACCATTTCAAGCGCTTTCTCACAACAAAATATGCAAAAATCTGAAAAATTAAGGTAAAAGTATTCATTAATGCTATTCTTAACCTTTTATAGATTCAAAACTAAGAAACACTCAAGATAACAGTGAAAACAAGTTATTGTTGCTTGAGCTTGAGCTCAAGCTTGAGATTGAGCTCAAGCTTGAGATTGTTTCAATCCAAATCAGACGTCCGCGGTGATTTCAATCCAAATTGGACACAACATATAAACTCAGAAAATCTATTTATACTATTTTTCTTTATCTTTATCAATCTGGAGATAAGCTGAGAGAAAATTTGAAATTTTTTCTGTTTTGAATGGGAGCAAAGATGCAAAAGTCTGATACTTTGTAAATAACAAACAGATTGCAGATTGCAGTTGTAATTGTAAGCGTTTCTTTGCTAGAATGCTGATCTTATTGGTATTTATTGGGGTTCTGATGCAGAGAATAGTAATGAACGACGAAGTAATGAATGATCAAGGTATACTAGTAGACTTTCATAACTGATTTTATTTGAATGGGAAGCAAAGATGCAAAAGTCTGATACTTTGTAAATAGCAAACTCAGCATTCTAGCAAAGAAACACATGCAATTACAAAGTCTGATACTTTGTAAATAACAAACTCAAAACAAAGTCTGATACTTTGTAAATAACAAATTCAAAACCCATAGAGCTCAGCAATTCTTGAGTGAGCTTTTGTCTCTAGCTATTCAAAATGCAAAGCGCCAAGATGAGAAAACTAATAATTATAGGCTTTACCAAATTACAAACTTTATTATTAAAAATTTACGAGAGATTTCGTCGATTTTTAGCTTTTTTTGAGGAAGAAAATCAGTTTTTCGAGAAAACTTCCGGCTGACTGATAATTGAATACGATTTTTAGATGAAATTGTTTTTATTTATTCCCTAGAGATCTATAGATCACATTTTTAGAATTAATTTGTGCTTATTTCAGTTGGAAAAGTTTATTTTGACATTTTGAGTAGATAGCCTGTGAAAAGTTCAAAAGATCACAGGAATACTTGTTGATAATGTAAAAATAGAAATGGATAGATAAGGAAAAAGCTTTGAAACTACTTATGGGAGTTGTTCAGTTAAGTAAAAGGATTTCTAAAGCTTGAAAAATCTTCTCTAGAATGGTCCACAGTAGCATTTCCCATTGACGCACATTGAAATCGAGTAACTCTGAAAAAAAATCAATTGCTTCATCGACATTTCAGCTCTAAAACAAATATCTAACACTATTCTATCAGAAGATTCTATAGTTCAACTAGATTGAAGGCTTAAAACTTTACACAACTTGAACAATTTGTCTATCTTTTCTCTTAGTTTCGCTTACAATCTAAATACAGTTTCATTGAACAGTCTAAGTTAATGTTATTAGTTTTAAAGTAACACTAGTATGCCTTAAACTGAATAACACCAACAAACTTACATTGCACGTAACTTTCTTGCACAAAAAGTCTCCGAAAAAACAGGCAAAATCGGCGGAGACAGAGATGAAGAAAATGAGGAAACAAAAAAGGAAAAGCCACTTTATCTCGATGATCTGAAAGCTAAGCGAATAGAAAATAACTATAAAATTGATTTTAAAAGTTAAATTATTTGAAATTGACAATGATGTTTGAAGATTTTCGAGTTATAAACCTATGACTCGGTGGAGTGACCAAACAGCTGTTGGGTCAAGAAAAAATGACAACGATTGTAGAAAAAATGATGCCTGTGGGAAAAATTTGCAGCCCAGACTCTTGCTGGGCATTGCAAACATGACCAGAGAATAGTAAGTCAAATAAAATCAGTTATGAAAGTCCATAGCCTACTAGTATACTAGGGTTGGTGAATTGAAAACTGCGGGACTTTGAACTAAAATTTATTCAACATAAAACCATCAATTCATTCCAAATAGTTTCCATTATTATTGACGACTTCTGCCCATTTTACAGGCAATTCGTGGATTCCTCTTTCGTAGTAGGATCCGCAATCCAAGCGGAGTAGTTGCTCTTGATCGGAAGCATCAATCGGAAACTACTCCGCTTAAACTGCGGAAGAAAGAAAAATACGCAAAAGCAAAAGAATTGGCTGGGAAAGTGGAGTGCACAGTTAGAGAAATTTTTGGGGGAATGAATGGAATAGATTTGAGAAAGAATCAGAAGAAAGAAAAAGCGGATGGGATAAAAGAATACGATGAGGATTTGAAAGAATTGGTGAGTTTGAATGAATTCAGTTTAAAATATGGCAGCTTTTCAGGACTTTTCTTTGTGCCCGGCAAGGCCAAGACCAAAGTTACGAAGGATAGTGATGAGTCGGATCTATTTGTTTATTGTATTTGTATCCCCGGTCCAAAGATTGCCATCGAGTCTTATTTTAACAGATTTCATTGATTCCGAGGACGAGAATGATGGTCCATTTTCGGATAAGAAGAAACCTGGTGGGTTGAATTGTTCAAAAGGAAACTGGCTTTGGCTGAGCTGCTGAGCCAGAAGGACGGGCTGAGCCAGAACAACGGACTGAGCCAGAACAACGGACTGAGCCAGAACAACGGACTGAGCCAGAACAACGGACTGAGCCAGAACAACGGACTGAGCCAGAACAACGGACTGAGCCAGAAGGACGGACTGAGCCAGAACAACGGGCTGAGCCAGAAGGACGGACTGAGCCAGAATGACGGGCTGAGCCAGAACAACGGACTGAGCCAGAACAACGGGCTGAGCCAGAAGGACGGACTGAGCCAGAAGGACGGGCTGAGCCGGTCAAATGCTATACGATTTTGACTATGATCTTGACCATTCGACGCAGAATTTTCTGCTGATTCCGAATATATATTCCTTTTTTGCTTTTTGACTTAGCTATGAGACAGAGAGTGAAAATTGAGAGGCTAACTTTTTCGATACAACGAGTAATTCAACTCCTGATAATTTAGGGTTTTATTTATGAAACCAAACTATAAAGCAAAAGCTATTTTGCAGTTCAAAAAGTGTTCAAAAAGTTACCTGTTACCTTTTATTCAAATAATAAACAAAGATAAACATTGTATGAGATATTAATATTCAATGAGATGAAAGAGATCAAATATCAATGGGCTTTTCTTTCAATCCAGTACACATATTGGTAAAGTTTAAAGCTTTTTTAGGTATTGCTGAAAACTTTCCCGATTTTATATAGATAACCTATACTTGCAATTATCATGCATTTATTTTAAAAACTTTAGATCATGATCCTTTATGAGTCGGATTGAGCGGAATGAGACTCCGAGCGATCGGCTATAAGCAAACTGGTCAAATGTCTACGTTTACCGATAGGTTTCTGATAATCTAAAAATTTGTTTATTTCTAGATATAGATGCTGGAGTATGACGTGCGAGCAACCGGGAATTGATGTCGAATTTCTGAGAACGGCTCTGCAAATCGCTGGTTTTGAAGCAGAGGTAGAGTTGCTCAAAAGGAAATTTTTCTGGAAAGGATAGGCATTACTTATTGTATTCTATTTCTTCTTTTTTCTCTGACAAGAAGCTACCGGATAGCAGAGCATCTGCTTGAAAAGCAAAAGCCGAGGGTTTAATCTTCCGAGAAATCTTTCTTTGCCATTCCTTACTTTATTTTATTAATTATTTTCTTGTTCTAGTCTGAGTTTACTATGGGGCTGACTTTGGTCTGACTTTATTGACTTTACAAAGTTCTGGGTTTACCAGAAGTCTGGACATCGCTCTAGATCCGGCTCCAGACCTGGCTCTAAACCTGACTCTAGATCTGGCTCTAGACCTGGCTCTAGACCTGGCTCTAGATCTGGCTCTAGATCTGGCTCCATACCTGGCTCTAAACCTGGCTCTAGATCTGGCTCTGGACCTGGCTCTAGATCTGGCTCCAGACCTGGCTCTAAACCTGACTCTAGACCTGGCTCTAGACCTGGCTCTAGATCTGGCTCTAGATCTGGCTCCAGACCTGGCTCTAGACCTGGCTCTAGATCTGGCTCCAGACCTGGCTCTAAACCTGGCTCTAGATCTGGCTCTAGATCTGGCTCCAGACCTGGCTCTAAACCTGGCTCTAGATCTGGCTCTAGATCTGGCTCCAGACCTGGCTCTAAACCTGACTCTAGACCTGGCTCTAGATCTGGCTCTAGATCTGGCTCCAGACCTGGCTCTAAACCTGGCTCTAGACCTGGCTCTAGATCTGGCTCCAGACCTGGCTCTAGACCTGGCTCTGGACTTGGTTCTAGACCTGGCTCTAAACCTGGCTCTAGACCTGGCTCTGGACCTGGCTCTGGACTTGGCTCTAGACTTGGCACTAGATCTGGCTCTGGACCTGGCTCTAGACCTGGCTCTAAACCTGGCTCTAGACCAGGCTCTGGACCTGGCTCTGGACTTGGCTCTAGACTTGGCTCTAGATCTGGCTCTAGACTTGGCTCTAGATCTGGCTCTGGACCTGGCTCTAGATCTGGCTCTAGACCTGGCTCTAAACCTGACTCTAGATCTGGCTCTAGACCTGGCTCTAGACCTGGCTCTAGATCTGGCTCTAGACCTGGCTCTAGACCTGGCTCTAGACCTGGCTCTAGATCTGGCTCCAGACCTGGCTCTAAACCTGACTCTAGATCTGGCTCTGGACTTGGCTCTAGACTTGGCTCTAGATCTGGCTCTAGATCTGGCTCTAGACCTGTCTACAGTACCAAGGGCCTTTTGAGAAACTTGAAATAGGAAATATTCAAATTTTCGGTGATTCAAAAAGATGTCCTGCCGGTGGTCGCTTATTCAATGCTTGAGAATGGAAGTGCTGATATTACCGTTCATACAATGGTGCAGAGGCTTGAACGTATGCAATCAGTGAGTCAGAAAAGCACTTTGTTCGAAAAGTCGACTAAGCTAAACCAACACAAGGCTTGGTTTAAAAGCAACTTTAGAAAAATCCTAGAAGATTGCCATTAAAGTCTAAAAGCTCAGGCCCATTTCACCAATCCGATCAACTATCTGGTTTACGGGTATCTTGTCAGAGAGGTCGACGAGTTTCAAGTGAAAAAATATAAAAGATTTATCGAATTGTTTTCAGGCTCGAGAATTTATCCTTAACTCAATCTATCCGGAAGTGGTTCTCCTACTGATTTTGCTCATCTTTTTCAGGTAGAAAATATAGTTTTCTTGCTCTAACACAAGTTTTTCAGTCCTCTTGCCATGTCGCTTTTGTCGGGTGAACGAAACTACGGGAATTGGCTTTTGAAATCCGTGCAAATTCTTCTGAAACAGAATGCAGGCTTGAAGAGGTGACAATAGTTTGTTTTTGGTAATTTTTCGAATTCTAAAAGCAATTATTTCTAGATGGTTCACCCCATCAAACGCTCTTTTCACTATTGCTTGGATTTGGTTTTGCTTTTGCTTCACGCTTTACTTTGAGAGTGCGATGAAGAGTAATTTGACATTATCGTCAAAGAAAGGGTTGTTTTAGAGTTCTTTCTTTGATCTAATCATTAATTAGTGTCGAGTTTCACAACTTCGAGGGACTGCTCGAAGCTTTAGAGAACAAGGGTAAGCGATTCCACTTTAGTGTTCTTCTCCTAAATCTAAATCCTAATCTAAATCAGTGTCCTTGTTAGTTCTTTTCCTAAATCTGAAGCTATTTCTGACCAGCTTTCCACTATTGTACATTAAAATGATAGGTTATAAAGTTTTTCTGTGCCTTGAAAATTGACAGTCGTAGTAGACAGTAGTAGACATGGTTTCGAATGATTCTTTAAGATAAGATGATTTGAAAAGGCAAACTTTTGAATTTTTGGATCATTGAAATGGTTTTTTGGATGGTTTTGGATAATTCTTTAGGTTAAGATGATTCAAAAGCGCAAACCTTTGGGGTTTTTGGTTCAGAGCATTGAGTTCTCTAAGCCAGTTTGAGTATGAGGAAAGTTTGAGCTTTTTTACTCTTAGATCTGTGATTTTTCAAGGATGGAAATTTTTGTAAATTGTAGAAATAACCTTTGAAGTTTTTCCAAATAAAAACTTGATTTCATTAGCATATCTTCTGTTCTAATACTTAAAAACATATGCTATCGAATAGATTTTTAGGCTGGCGCTTAGTGATTCGCGATGAGATTCAATGGGATGTCGCTCTGTTTTGCCGTGATCATCAATGCGCTCGTTACATGAATCATATAAAACAGTGAATTGAACAATGTCAACTTGCAAACTATGAACTTTAGAGCGATCAATGTCTCGAAAACGTTTGATCTTAACAAGGTTTGTGAAGAAAGGGTTTTGCCTGTAATTTTGCTTGTTTTCCAGTTGATGCCCCCAAAAACCGTATTGATCACCGGCTTTGAAAGTCACATGATCCAATCGGATGTTGCACTTTTGAATCGACAAGGACGAACACTTTTCATTCGAGATCTCAACTTACAAAATTCTCCTCTTGCCTTTGCTGTCAGCAAGTTGGTTTATGAATCATTGATTCTTAATCAGATATCTTCAGAAATCTCAGTTATGTTTTTCGAGAGAAACTCAATCGAGCACTTGAGTCAATGCAAGGATCGTACCCAAATTTTGCGATCAGGTTCGAAAATTGTATTGTTTGGATTGTTTGATTCTAGTAGATTGTTGGTAACTTGTAATTTTTCTATCTTTCAACTGCGGTACTGGCTCAACTTGGTCTAAACGAATAATAGAAATTTCCGATAAAATAAACCAATTGGTTGGTACCGATTGGTAAAATTCGTAAAATAAACCAACCAATTCATTTCAAAAAGTAACCTTTAAAAAAAAGCGGACAAGACTTTCCGATCTGCCTGATAGTATAAAAGAAATCCATGAAAATAAACGAAGTTACTAGGTTGATGCAAGAGATTTCCGTTTTTAACAAACATTGAATTCAATCAAAATTTCTTTAGGTAACAATTTATTCCAAACAATAAGCACCATCGTTATCTATAACATTCCTCCAAAGTTACTTCAGATTGCGGATTCCCTTATCGAAGAACTCTTGATTTTGTGATTGAAAGTAGTCGGTCACTCAAGTCTCGATCTCTTGCGCATTCTTAAACTGGCAATTTGCAAAGGAAATATTGCATCGATTTGAAGGTGTCGGATGGTGATAAATTTAATCAACATTCCTTTAGGTAATAATTTATTCCAAACAATAAGCACCATCGTTATCTACAACCAGCCGCGCTGGGCATCCGATTTGCAAATGCTTTTTGAAAAATTTGCATTATTTCCCCGGGTGAAATTAGGTGTATCGTGTAGTCGCGCTGAAAAAAATCTACCGAAACACCACCACTTCATATCTCGGCGGGTTTTCAACTTTTTCAAAATCTGACTTCAGATTCGGAATCAGCGAATTTTTTACTCTAAAGTGGAAGTTTTCAGTCCCCTAGCATTTCCCCGAAAAAAGCCACGAACGGACGGACGAGCGTCGTTATATATAGTAGATATTCCTACTATATATAACTTCAGATTGCGGATCCCCTTATCGAAGAACTCTTGATTTTGTGATTGAAAGTAGTCGGTCACTCAAGTCTCGATCTCTTGCGCATTCTTAAACTGGCAATTTGCAAAGGAAATATTGCATCGATCTGAAGAGGTGAAATCAGATGGTGATAAGTCTGGACTGGATGGCGCACGGGGTAAGACCTTCCATCCTGATTCCTCTAGCTCCAAACAAGACGCTTTCGCTGTGTGAGCTGGCGCATTGTCACGGGGAAAATTGACAGTCGAGGGATTCAAACCTTTTTCACGCAAAATTTGGTCAAACTTCTTGAGCTGTTGAATAAAACAAGGCGATTCAACTGTTTTTCCAGGCTCTAATAATTTGAAATAAACAAAACGTTGATATTCCACCAGCAAGACGACATCACTTTGTGACCATGATAATCCGGATTAGGAGTTGGAATTGGCATTTGAGCTGAGCCATTGTCTTTTTCGATAGCCTTTCGATGTTGAAGATTCTTTTTTGAATTCTGAAGAGGTGAAATCAGATGGTGATAAGTCTAGACTATAAGATCTTCCATCATAATTCCTCTCACTCCATACAAGAACAATGAAACCAGAGGCCTCTGACTCCATACAAGACAATGCTGGCGCATTGTCACGGAGAAAACTGACAGTCGAGGGATTTAAACCGTTTTGATTCAAAATTTGGTCAACCTTCTTGAGATATTGAGTAAAACAAGGAGAATAAACTGTTTTTCCGAGCTCTATTAATTCGAAATAAACAAGCCCATTGATATTCCACCAGCAAAAAAATAGAACATTTTATTCCGATCGAAGTTTCTTTTGCATTAACCTAGTATCAACCGGAATCGATATCCGTATCGTTTATAAAGTCAACGCCAAGTCAACCAGGTTCTGGCTTTATTTAACTGACTCTTGCTCGTCCCGGCTTCCTTTCTTTAGAACCCGAGACAACTTTCATTTGGGCTGGGACTGGGCTGGGAGAATTCCAACCCGAACCTAATTTCGTTTTCTGAGACGTCTCTTTCCAATTGCTCTGAAATTTTCTCTACAAGCAGAGAATGCCAATTGCTATTCGTAAACAATAAGTAAAATTAAAAAATTTCGAAACAAACGGCCAAGAGACAGCTGAGAAAATGAAGATGAAATTAGGTTCGGATTAGAATTTCTCCATGTCTAGTCTGGACCGTTTTATGGATCTAAACAAGGCTAATGATAAAACCTCACAAGTCAAGACCATTTCAAGATATGCGACTCCTTATGCTCCATATCGAACAACCGAAGTGGGCGCCTCTGGTTTTATTGTTCGCTTGAGTCTCGTTTATTTGTGGTCGTTATTTCGACTGTGCCTTATTGGAGTCGCTCTCGCGATTGGGTTGCTTATTGGGGAAATAATAACGGTACAGTTTAGCAAGATAAGTTTAAGGTCAAGAAAGTTTAGGCAAAACTCGCAGCCAACATTCATTTGCTTCACGAGGAGTGTCGATGTAAGCAAAGAGATGATGAAATGAAACATTTTACACGAAATTCGCTTCTCGCTTTATTATCCAAGTTAAAAAGACAACAAGACAATGTAAAGAAAGTAAAACGAAACAGTATTTGATAAAAATTGAAAGCTTAACTGGTAAGATGCACATAAAAAAACTAGCTTTTCAAAATCCAAGAGAGAACTGTGAGTTTTACGGTATTTTCTGCCAAGAATTAGCACTCCGCTAGGACGAAAATGATCTTTAATCAGATGAAGCCAAGAATTTTGAATGATTGTCATCTTTTTGTTGTTAAAAGCTGAAGATATCAGCCAGAGAATCGCATTACCCCGTAGACATTACCGCATTTTTTAAAGACAATTTTAAAGTTTTAAAATTGAACTAGTCAAACTCTTTGATATTAAATTCAAGATTCTTGATGTCTTTCAATGTCTTTTGTGAATTTTCACATGACTAGATCAAAGATAAGATTGACCATAAGCTAAAGTTAAGAGGTAGTTTTTGGCAGTTAACGCTCTTCGAAAACATTTTTTTTTTTTGACAAGAACAGTGATGTGATGGCTTGTTGATTGTGATACAGTGATGATTTGTTAATTGTAAGTCCATAACTTTAACTAGCTTTTCAAATTCCAAGAGAGAACTGTGAGTTTTACGGTATTTTGTGCCAAGAATTAGCACTCCGCTAGGACAAAAATTGTCTCTAATCAGATGAAGCCAAGAATTTTGAATGATTCTCATCTTTTTGTAGGTAAAAAACTGGAGATATCAGCCAGAGCCAGAGCAAGATATCAGCCAGAAGAATCTTGCTCTGGCTGATATCTTCAGCTTTTAACAACAAAAAGATGACAATCATTATCCCATCTTTAAAATTGAACTAGTCGAACTGTTAGATATTTAAAAAACAGAAAATCCTTTGCCTTTTAACGTTTATGTTTTTTTGATAGACTTAAGTAAGTTTTATTTAAATTAGATGGAAAAAATTGGCCCTTGTAACTTAAAGTCGGCTTTTCAATGAGTATTAAAGCTCGTAACTTTGTTTGGAAATAATATTATTGTTAATTTTTAATATATTTAAACGGATACACTACAGTTTTTCAAATGATCCCAAATAGAAGTTAATTGGATTATCTAGTCCTGTGAAAATCGAAATCAACATAAATTTAAATGTAGACTCAATAAAATAGCCCCAGTCGATTCCCCGTCCCCGAAAATCCCCGGGTACAAATTTCCAGCTAAATATCTTCATTTGAGGCGATCTACAAAGCAAAAGAAAATTCCATAAATGACTGGCGAGGTGTTCTTTCTGCGGTTGCGTAATCGCTCCGGCATCTGGCAAACCGCTTCGGTATAAAGAGCTTCTGTGTTAGCATTTGGAAACGGTGAAAGACTGAGCCGGTTTCTCTGTTTTAATCGTGACTATGCTCAAAGTTTTGTCATCAATCTTTGCCTCAAAATTGACTGTATTTTTGCTACAAATTCTATATCTTCCCAAACCATTTTCTCACTCAAACAAAGCTATCTTACTTGAAAGTTTTGTTTCAAAATCAGTCCAGTTAAAGTTAGTCAAGTTTTCAAGCTTTCTTGTTTATCGACTCCATCATTTTAATAGATTAAAAGATTAAAACGTTGGAAATAGTAGGAGTTTAAAGTACGATTTGTTATTGGGTTGGGGAGAATGAGTCGGCGCCGAACTTTAAAGGGACTTTTTGCACACATAAAGCCTTCTTTAAACATACGTTTGGTTTCATCAAAAGGATCCACTATTTCTCTGCAAAATGACTTTTGAGAGATGTGGAATCTCTCAAAAGTGTGCAAAAAGTACCTTTAAAGTTCGGCGCCGACTCATTCTCCCCAACCCAATATTTCGAGCTGGGAAACCTTTTCGGCAATAGGTTTTGAACAATGGGCTTTTCTCAAAACGAATTGATCAGGTTTGGGTTTTAAATGGCAATTATCATATAAAGTAGCTTGCTTGGGTACTCTAGCTGATTCAAATGCTAACAGCTAGCTAGGTAAAGTTTCTAGGTTACCAAGTTCTAAGCTGAAAACAAGAAAATAGACGACCATGAGCATATAGCGCTTTTCAGAGGAGCCACAATTAATTAATAGCCTCTAGAATAGCCTGTAGAAGTCTCTCAAATCCTTATCTCAATCTACTCTATAGTTACCCATTCTTACATTGATACTATTCTTTTTGACATTGCAAACATGACACTGGCAAGATTAACATTCAATCAGTTCAAACTTCTATCCAATCACAATTCTTCCCAAAACCCACTTGAATGCCTCTTCCTCTTCGGGAGTGAAGTCGTTCTCCACTCCCCAAATCTCGCGGATCTCTTTTCGATTTTTCCTGAAAATTGAATTGAAAAGAGTTGAAAATTTGTGGCTTTTATAGCAATTTTTATGTAAACTTCCCTTTGAAACTCACCTTGATCATATCGGCGATTGTTTGAGCGCATTTATCGAGAAGGCACTTGATGTCCATGTAGTTGGCGGCCTGGAAAAGGAATTGGTAAGGGTTTTTCAGATTGAAAGGGTAAGATGTTTTGATTTTATTATCGAAAAGGCTTATAATGTATTATTTGCAAAAGCCAACCAAGTAAACATCGTGAAGCGCCTCGGAAGTCATCTCGGCCATGAATTCTTTCTCCCATTTCGTCAACTCAGCATCGCGTTTGTTTTCCCACCTGAATTGTTGGAATTAAGGCTTTTTGCGAGTAATCAAATTGCAAACTTCACTGCTAAATATTAACTTATTTAGTTATCCAAGTAAATCAATGAATTCACCCACCATTTCTCTTCTACCCAAGCCGGACAGTTGCGGTGTTGTTCACACCAACGAATGATCTGAAAGTGAAAGACGACTTCAAGGATTTGATTTAGACTTGAAAATGATAAAAAGTTAATTTTACAAGATTAAAATCATTGAAAACCCACATAATAAAGGCTTTCATTGCAAACATTTGAAAGAGGAATCGTTTTCATTTTCGAGATCGCCTCATCGTCACTCAAACCGGTATTCTGAAATAGGAAAAGGTATTCAAACCTGGAGAACCGTTAAATTTAATAGATTTCTATACCAAATTAGGGAACAAATGCTATTTATTTTCTTTCCAAACCTGAGCATAGTGATTGACGGTTCCACAAAGCTGAGCCGCTTTCTTCGATACGGTGAATTCCTTGTCTTCCTTGGAGATAATCTGAAAAAGGACATAAGCTTTTAGACTTGAAAAAATCAGTGTTACTCCAAAAATCTACTTAACTAGACTTTTAACTGAATATTCTTCGTCCTAGTGGTTTATTTCCTTACCCGAAAAACACCATCCACTTCTTATAACCTCGGTTACAAACAGGACATATTTTTAAGGCAAGCAAATCTCACAAAGAGGTAGCTAAAACCTAGAAGCCCAATTTCTTGCGTTTGCAGGCTATTTAGTAAAAACAATGGGAAACCACGGTTATTTTAAAATCAAATGTACCGTCGTCGATTGGACGTATTGGTGGGAGTCGAGAATAATTGAGCTCCTTTCATTTCATGAGTTTTTGCTGCCCCTGCGGACCGAAATCCTTGGGATGAATCCAAAAATTCACAGCGGCTCCCTTCAGCACCGTTTTACGGGCACTTGGGATCCCATCTCGACCGACAGAGAACCTGCCATCATGGACAAGATGGGCCGGGATTGGGTTCACCAATCCTACAGACAGATTTATCCAAAATATGCCCCGAAATATTCATTACCTTATCCTCGGGAATGGTCCCATTGAATCGAGGATCATCACATGGACATCACATGGAACCCTTTGAAAGGTGGTTCTTTTCAAAACTTGCGCAACTATGAATTCTATATCAATATATGTTCTTCCCTTTCTCTAATTAAAGTTTTTGAACTTTAAGTTGCAAAAAAGAAGATCGATGTTTGTTCCCTGTACGCGGGCACAATCGCGCTCGATCTGGCATATTACGTTTGGTGATATAGTTCTCTTTCCACTCTTGAAATCGGAAGCGTCCATTTTGGGTCATCCGGTAACCAATCCGTTGTCTGCCCCATGTGGTCACCGCTTCCCAAAAACCAACTTAGGCTGTAGAATTGGTGAACCCAATTCCGGCTCATTTTGACCATTATGGCGGGTTCTCCGTCGGTCGAGATGGGATCCCAAGTGCCTCTAACAGGGCGCTGAAGGGAGCCGCTGTGAATTTTTGGATTCATCCCAAGGATTTAGGTCCGCAGGGGCAGCAAAAACTCATGAAACGAAAGAGCATAAGCACAATTCTGCTCGACTCCCATCAATCGAGGGCGGTACAATTGATTTTAAAATAACCGTGGTTTCCGATTGTAATGTTTGGTGGATGATCACCGCTTCCCAAAGATTAACTCTGATTTTAGAATTGGTCAGAATTGAATAGGAATAATCAATCTATTTCTTAGTGGAGAATGAGAAAAATCGAAAAAGATTGCTCGAAAACCTTAAAGACCATTCAAACTCGTTAACCACCATGCAATCCTTTCAAATTTCAGAATTTAGAACTTCTGAGTTTTGATGTATTTTTTTTGCATGATTTATAATTTATATTTTTATTTATCCAACATAATCTCCATTATTTTCCAATACTTGAGTCCATTTGTAGCTTCGTTTCATGGGTTTCTGCTGCAATCTCGATTTCGCTGATGTGCAGAAATAACTCGTACAGAACCGAGGTTATCTGGAAATTTGATGGCATTCTTGACAATTCTTTTCTTTATGATCTATCTTTTTTGGCAGATGAAAATTGAGAGACAAAGGGTAATTTGTCGTTTTCAAATGATCAAGAATGACTTTAGTAATAAGCTAATGTAAATTAATCAAATAATCGATCAAACATTACAATCGGAAACCACGGTTATTTTAAAATCAATTGTACCGCCCTCGATTGATGGGAGTCGAGCAGAATTGTGCTTATGCTCTTTCGTTTCCTGAGTTTTTGCTGCCCCTGCGGACCGTAATCCTTGGGATGAATCCAAAAATTCACAGCGGCTCCCTTCAGCGCCCTGTTAGAGGCACTTGGGATCCCATCTCGACCGACGGAGAACCCGCCATAATGGTCAAAATGAGCCGGAACTGGCCGGAACGG